CCCGCCACACCCCCGCCCCACCCCAGCCTGTCTGGTTTTCTGCTTTTTTAGGAGTCATTTATCCATCCATACGCCCATACGATAAGCGGTTTCATCAAGCAGAGATCTCTTCTGGAATTGGCGGCGGCTGTGTGGGAGCCAGGGCCGCGCTCTCTTGGCTGGTTCCGGCCGGCCATGATCCATTCACACACACATAGGTCACGTCCATCAAACCACCCACCCAGCCACCGCTCCCAAACAAATGCATTTCTGGGGTTAGCACAGATCGACCGACTGCCTTGGCTTGACGAGTGGATTGGATTGCGACAATGCATTGGATTGTCTGGATGGATGGATGGATGCTTTGTATGTGTGTGTATGTGAATGTACGCCGTGTTTTCATGTGTTTGTTGGTTGGCTGGTTGGTTGGTTGATTGTGGATTTCCGAGCCATATGTGTTGCGGGTTTGTTGATTATCCTTCCATCCGCTGTCTTGTCTGTCTGTCTCTCTGCCTCTCTCTCCGTGGGTCTGTCTGTCTGCCTGGATTCGATCTCATCTCTGCACATACGCACACGTTTTTCTCGTCTGCCCAGCTCAGCTCTGCTCGCCTCGAGATCTCCCTCAGCAGTACCCTACACCTTTCTCTCTCTCTGTCTGTCTGTTGCATACCTGCGTCTCGTGTGCAGTGCAGCTTGCCAGGCAGTCACATCATTTTTCCCTCTCTGCCCGCCCCATGGTGAATGACATATGAGTAAGATAACCCGACAAAGAGGGAGGCGTTTGTCGTGCGTGTCTGCCTCTGCCTCTTGGTGGTCTGTCTTTTTCCCACTCACTCTCTTTCTCTCTGTCCATAATGCTGCATGTGTGTGTGTACTCGGCTTATATATTCTCTCTGTCTTGTCTCTCTCTCTCTCTCTCGCTTCGTTTCTTTACGGTTGGTATCCTTTATCAGGCAGCTTTATGTGTGTGTTCCTGACTAAGCGAAGAGCCCCGACAGAGAGAGAATGAGAGAATGACGGAGAGAAAGCAATGCAGGAGCGAGCACCGGCATGGCGTCGAACGAACGACTTGGTTGGGTTTAGTCGTTTTGAGTCGGGCTTTTTGGCTCATCCGTCATGACACAACCGAGACCACACCACATGACACCACATGACATCACATGACATTGACATGATTGACATTGACACAGAGAGTGAGAGTGAGAGAGCGAGGTTGGATTGAGAGAGAGAGAGGTGAGGTGAGTTGAGAGAGATGTTCGGTTTGTATGTTTGTGTGTGTGTGTGGCTTCGTTGCGTTGGTCTCTTTGTAGTTCGTAGCACCCGACACGCATGGCATGCACTCACCCGTCCGTGTTGGGGAGAGGCTGCACGCGCCAAGCCGCCCATTGCCGGTTGCTGGCTGAAGTGCGTACGATCCCGTCCCCACGCGCATGGGTGAATGAATGCAGTGCGTGGGTGCAATTTTGGCTGTTGTGTTGGGCGTGTGGGTGTGTGGTGGGTGGGGTTCGCAGTGAGGGAGAGAGACGAAGGTCCATTGACTGCATGCTCCATCGGTGAGGTACGGGTGGCTGGTGTTTGAGAGCGAAGCAATGAGCTGCTGCTGCTGCTGAAGCTGTCATGTCATGTGATGACTGGATGGGGTTTCCTGCTTGTGGATGGATGGATGGATGGCATGTGCTGCGCGGGGCTGATGCGGCGCCAAAGTGTATTCATATGTGACGTGACGTGACGTGACGTGTTGTTGTCTGCGAGGGGTGTGTGTGTGTGTGGTCGCATACAGCAGGGAGGGAGGGAGGGAGGGAGGCGAGGACTGAAAGCGGAGCGTGCAATGGACCAAAGAGCGGACGAAGAGAGCATAACTAAGTAGCGGCTTGATAAAGGCCCTTATCTACGTCAGAGTCAGTCTGTCACACACAAAAACACACACAAACACACGCACTTACACACACGACACACGAGTGTGTGTCTGTAACAAATGGACACGTACACTACACACGGATGGGAGGATGGATGGGTGGAACACCCACAGCAACACACGGACGGAGGACACTAGAAAACCCACCACAGAGGGCGGGAAAAATACCCTCACGCACTGATCCATCCATCCAGCCATCCGCTGAAAGGGCTTCACTCAGTCGTCCTCCATCTTGACCCTAACCTCCCCCTCCCCCTCGCCCTCTGTCTTCACTCTCGCCTCTTTCTTCTCCGCCTTCTTCTCCGCTGCTGGTGGCTGCTTAACAATCCTCGGGCCCACACCCACACCCCTGTGGCTGTCGCACATCCTCTTCTGCCTGTCCAGCAGCTCAAGCACCTTCGCAGGCACCGCAAGCCGCTCCTCTCTTTGGTGCTGGTGGTGGTGGTTCTGATCCTCTCCTTGGTGCTGTGTCTGTGTGAGTGTCTCGTCTTTGATGGCCGCATGCTCCTCGGCCTTGTGCTCGATCTTCTGGCGCTTCACCAGGGGGCTGCCCGAGCGGTCCAGCACCATGGCGTCGGGCCAGAACCTGACACACAGACAAGGCACACACAAGATGTATGGATTGGGTTTGGGAGTTCTGCCTGACTGACGGACCAGTGCATCTTCTTGAGTGCGTTTTCCTTGGAGCATTCTAGCATGAGAGCCTGGTCGGGTACGCGCCGCTCGGGGGGGCGGCACTCGATGCCCAACGCGGCGAAGATCTCCTCCTCTGCACCACACATCAATCAGGACACACAGTAACTATCCCATACAGACCGACAGACAGACAGATGGATGGAGGATGTGTGTGTGCGCACCTGACTCGCATGGGATGACCTGGCCCTGCCAGATCTGATGACAAAGCGGGAAGAGACACACAGGCATATGGTTGGTTGATTGCCAGGCCAGCAGTGTGTGTGTTGCAGGGTGTGGTGTGTGTGTGGTGACGACCTTGTCCTGCGCTGCGCGCCGGTTGCCCTGCACACCCACCACACAGACACGCACACGCACACACATGGATGCGTTCGTTCTCGGTGCCACAGGAGTGCGTGCGCACCGGTCTATGGTCGGCCTTTCGTTTGCTGTCCCTCATGGCTTTGCAGAGCTTGTGCTCAGACAGGTGCAGACCCATGTGGATGGCATGCTGCCGAATCACACGGTTGAAGTGCCCACTGCCTGCACACAAAAACACACAGACACACACACAGAGAGAGAGAGAGAGATGGATGGACAGACCACACCATGGTGGTCTGTCTTTCGGCTGGCCGACCGACCGCACCGGTGAAGTGGACGAGGGCGAAGGGAAACTCAGATCGGTGCCACATCTGGATGGACAACAAGGACACGCCGTCTCACAAAACCACTCATTCCTGCCTGCGCGGTCTCTCACAGCAGTTCCTCGTGTGTGGTTGCTTGCCTTGATGTCTATTCGTCGCTTGGGCCCCGATCGGTCCGGCCAGCACACACCCAAAAACGTGACAGACGGATGGCCGGGGTCCTCTGCACACACACACACACACACACACACAGAAATGGACCACTCACGCAAAAGTGCGTGTGTGTTGTGCTCTTGTGTGTGTGGTTGTGTGTAACCGGGGTGTGGGATGCCGCCCTGGACGGCTTTCCCCTTGTCAGGCTCCGACATGCTCAGCGTGTCGACGATGAACCCCTCGCCCGACAAACTGGTCAATCAGCCAACAGTGAGTGACAAGACGCGCTAATTGGTGGTGAATCGATTGCCATCGGTGCCACCGACCTGTCGAGGATTCGCTGCACCTCAGTGCCCACCTCCCGGTCGTCCGTTCGTGTGACGAGTATGTCGATGTCGCCCAGGTGCGTCTCGCCCCGTCTGTGGCTGCCGCACAGCTCGAGATGCAGCTCTCCCGGCAAGAGCTCGGCCGCCTTTTCACACACCCGCTGGTAGATGCTCTCCACCTCTGCCCGCGTCATCTTGAGGGCAAAGTCGTCGACGTACTTGAGACACCGCCGCTGTCTGTCGGTGTCCAGCGCCTCTGGGTGTTTCTTGATGTCGTCGAGGGTGCGGAAGCCGCGGGCCCACAGCCTGCCGGCCATGGAGGGGCCGACCCCCCAGATCTGGCAGAAAGACCGCAGCGCCTGCAGGCGCTCGTCTTTCTGCACACACGGACGGGAAGACGATATATGGGTTGGCGGAGGGAGGGAGAGAGGGGAGTGTGGTGTGATGGTTGTTGCTGTGGTGGGTGGCTTCGTGTGTGTACTTTGAAGTTGTTGAGGCGTTGGAGCTTGCCTGTGTCGAGCAGCTCCTGCACCTGAATATATAATCAATCAGCACACAACAGACAGCACCCACAGCCACACTTGCGCAGAGAGCCCCACCCGGGAGGCAGCGCTCCCGAGCACACCTGCTCACCAGCCTACCTTCTCGCGCACTCTGGGGCCGATTCCTTGCTGGCCGGCTGCAGAGCAGAGAAGACGTGACACACAGGGGATGAATGGTGGACGCTATGGTATGGTGTGAAGCCTAGTGGCTGACTGACTGACCGATGTCGTCAGCTGACAAGATGGGCTTGTCCAACCCAGCGATGAACTTTGCAGCCCTCGAGTAGGTGTAACTGATGGCACAGAGCACACACACGTCCCGTGTGTCTCTTTCTGCCTCCTGTGCTTTGCTTACTGCCGCCATTGGTCGCTAGAGGCCTTGTACCCCTTCGACAGCTCAGTGAAGTGCTGCACATACACACACACATACGCACAGAAACAGAGCCATGTTTGTCCATCATCACTATCTTTGAGCGTTCACCCACCTCTGCCATCCACTTGTTCCTCTCCAGCGAGGGCTTGGTGTAGTCGACGGTGCCGTCCTCTCCGCCCTCAATCATGAGCTCCTCACCATCCTCACCAAGACCGAAGCCCTCACCCACGTGTGGCTCCATCGCCAGCTCGTCTTCCGGCTCCTGCTTGACCACCGGATGTGGCTGCTGCTGCTGCTGCTGCTGAGGGAGAGGGGGAGGGGGAGTCGTGTGGCTGTCGGAGCCACCACTGGCCGCAGCAGATCTAGAGGCGGACGAGGGCGCGCTTGGCGCGCTCTCGGTGAACTGATACAGGTAGGCTGAATACACACACAAAGAAAGGCGTGCAGACGGGGGGTTGCATGTGCAGATTCATTGTTTCCATGGGATCTGATCTACCCACCCACCTTCATCGTTCTGTCGTTTGCCCGTCTGAGATGACTTGGTCATCCACTCGTCACGCACCACCTTCGCCCGACCAGTGCTGATGGACTCTTCTGTCAGGGAACTGTCGTGGAGAAAACGAAGGAACCCCTGAACGCCCATACAGTACATCACACAGTGACAGCCACACACAGAGATAAAATCCGCAATCATTCAGTCAGCGCACCTGACCTGTCTGCTGAGTGTCTTGGCCACGACGATGTGTGTGATAGCGGGGTTGAGTTCCTTCTTCTCCCGGCCCTCCTCGTCGATGAATGTGCTGGTGATGTCCTGGATGACCTGCCCGCCCTTGTCCTTGACGCGCTGACTCATCGTGTTGATGCGGGAGAGACCCAGATCGCCCCGACGGACGAAATACAAACTGCATGACGAGAACACGCCGCCAGATGAGGGCGATTCAGCCATTTCGAGTCGCAACTGGAGAGTAAGAGCTGCCGTATCTGTGCGCGATTTGTGCCACGTCCCCTTGTTTTCGGCAGGGGGAGGAACACATCTGCCACCAGCTAAGCTCGCAGACCGGAGGAGGCCAGACAGGCTCTTTCTCCCCCTTTAGGCCGCCTCCGAGTCGTGTGTGCTTCTGCTTAGCGGAACAAACAATGCAGTTTGTGGGATCTTTGTCGGCGTGCTTGCTGTCACTCATTGTCGGTGGCTGTGAGGCCTTTGCAGCCACGCAGGTACTTAGGCACACTCCGCCTGCACTGCATTAATTCACTTCCGTAGCCAGTCACTGCACGTGAGCCCATCTTGTGTGATGGTCTCTCTCGTCAGGTGCCGGTGCTGGCCTCCCCATCTGTCACCGCTGCAACGCCCAAGAAGAAACCGGTGTGTGCCAATCACTGCCATCCCACGCATCACACACACATATTTATTTGCTGCCATCCCATCTGTATTGCTTGTCTGCTTTGCCCTGCACGTACGTATGTGTTCATTTAGACAATTCTGGTGACAGGCGCTACGGGGCGGACAGGCAAGGAGGTCGTGGCCAACCTCATCAAAAGATACAGACAGGTACACACACGAGGCAAGGCGAGGCAGCCGATCCATGCAGTGCAGGTGGGCTGTCTGTCTGTCTGTCTGTGTTCATTTCATTCGTTTGTCCCACACACGCACACGTAGGATGAGGTGACTGTTCGTGTGGGTGCGCGAGATGTCAAGAAGGCCGAGCAGATGTTTTCTGACGTCAGCGACCGGGTGGAGATCGTTCAGTGTGACCTGTTGAATGAAGGCAGCATCAACAAGGCGACCAGCGGTGTGGATAAAGTTGTCTGGGCGGCGACGGGATTCTCTCAACAGCAGTCTCTGCTGGACCGTGTGTTCTCCCTCATTCGCTTCGCAACGAGCCCGAAAACTACCGTCGAGGTGAGCAGAGCAGACAGCGAGGGCACCATCACACGTAGCGTTGCCGCTGTTGTATGTATGTATGTATGTATGTTTGTGTGTGCATGTGATGTGCAGGTGGAAGGGATCCAGAAGCTTGTGCAAGCGCTCAAGCAGCAGAGGGACGGCCGCAAGGAGCAAGATGACGGTACGGTATGAGTGTACCCTGTTCGTTCGAACAGACAGACACCTGCCGGCCCACACAGCCAGCCACTTGTGTGTTTTTCTGTGTGTGCTGGCCTGGTTGGCTCGGCTCGGCTCGTTTCAGGTCTGCCTGCTTTTGTCATGATGTCGTCAGCAGCCCTCACTCGGCCCTTCTGGGATGAAGCTGAGAAGGAGAAGTTCGTGGAAGTGACCGACATTCCTATCGTCAAGCTCAATCCATTCAACATCCTGGGTGAGGGAGGCCAGTGATGCCTCTATGTGTGTGTATATATGTCGCTGGCTGTTTGGCAGGGACGAAGCTCGAGGGTGAGAACGTCTTGCGGAAGAGCGGGGTGCCCTACTGCATTGTACGGCCATGTGGCTTAAACGATGCCCATAAGCGGGGCCGGCCGGTCCTCGTGCAAGGTGAGGGGGAACAGCACACAGCCAAGCACACACACACCATTTAATTACTTACATGAGTGTCTGCAGGTGACGTGGCGATCGGGCGCATCAACAGGTATACATACGCACACACACATTTCCTGTGTGAAGAAACTGTCTTCCATGAATACATACATCGGTTCCTTCACCGCAGGAAGGATGCGGCGGAGGTTGTGTGTTCGGTGTTGGAGTGCCCGGAGGCTACCGGCAAGACATTCGAAGTCTTCACAATCCCCTTGTACAAGAAGAGCCCTCAGGTCATCATATATGTGAACAGACAGACAGGACCCACCTCACCTCCACGGGCACATATCTGTGTGTGTTCAGACCTTCAAGAAGACGCTAGAGGGACTGAAAAGGGACTCACCCGACTGGCAAGATGATGTGGGAAGCAAGGTGAGTGGCCAACCAGGCCGCTCGCACACGCCAGAAACTTGTACGCAAATGCATGCACGCCCTCCTTTGCCTGTCTGCCTGAGGAATGCAGGTTGTGAGTGACGAGCTTTATGAGTTTCTTCGCCAGCTCCAGCCCAACCCACAACCGAGAAACGTCGACCAGGGGAGCCTCAGGCAAAGTACGTCCTTCTCGCAGATCTTCCATCTCTGCTCTGCCGCATACCCTGTGTGTGTGTGTGTGTGTGTGTGGGTTCCGTGCAGGCGATGAGGAGCCAGAGGAAGACGAGGGTGTGAAGGCCGATGCGGTGCAGCAGAAGGAGCGAGTAGAGAGGCAGGATCGCATAGTAGCCGCCGTCAGATGACGTGAGACTAGACCAATCAGTGACTTTGTGATCGCATGCATAACGTGCAGCCCTCGATTGACGCTTGTACTCAACACCCAACGGTCACAACACCATTGGCACATTCTCACTTGCAACTCAAGCCTCTGATAGCGTCGCAAATCCGGGCCGTTCAAAGCGCAATCACCTCCTCTGTACGGAAACTCACAGAAGGCTGATCACATGTATCTAAAGCTTTATCACCTCCGTATGTGTTTTCTTCTTGTGATTCGACTCTCGCTGCTGCTGCTGCTGCTGCACGGGGGTGGCAGAATTTGCTCTCTCGGCCTCTGTCCGCTTGATCGACGCCAGAACCTCGCCGAGTATATTCTTCAGAGCATTGTCCACCTTTGCAAAGGGGACAGAATCCTGAAACACACAAAGAAGCTCGTCTCTCTGGCCGTTCTACAGCTGTGCTGACCTCTGGCCTGGTCCCGGCAAGCTTGATGACCTCATTCCAGACATGTTGGGCGACTCTCGCGGCGTACGGATGCTCTCGATCGTCAGGCCGAGGCACGATGAATATGTCAAAGAACAGCTAACAACAGCAACCAACACACATACGTGGATTTCGTGTAGATGGCGACAGACAGATACCTGTCTGTTGATTCTGTGTCCATCTGTCGCATTGTTCCCCTTCTCCCTCTGCCGTCCACTCTCAGGTATCCCGGCTCCAGCCGCCAAGAGCCCGACAGGCTGACAAACTTAGTGTCGTATGTCTCCTTGTTCGACGGCTGCTTCGGCGGTTCTTGCATAGCTTTTGGAGCAGCTGCAGCTTGGGCCGCCTGAGAGGCAGGCGAGAGAGAAGCTATGCAGGTAGGCAGGCGAGCATCAATCAAGTGCGTGCTTGTTACCGCGGGGTGTTTGCGTTTCTTGTCGTCTCTCTTGGGGCGGGGCGGTGGTGTCGGCGGCCGTTCTGTGACGCCGCGGTCGGACGGCTCACGCGCGCTGAGCTTCTTCTGCTCTGTCACTGCCTTGGCCTGCTGCTCGGTAGTCAGCTTCTCTTGCCTTGTCGGTAGGGGTGCCACGGACGCGAATTTCAGCAAGTGCAGGAGCTACAAGTCGACACGGGCGCGTGCTAGTGAGGTGCTGACAGCGGATTTGAACTTCTGCCAGTCGCTGTCGCCGATGCCGTCACAATATGCCTCTATCGATGTCAGCTCTTGATGCAGCGACGGCGCATTGAACTTGCACGCCTGATGACCAAGAGAAACAGGAAGACACGATTGAGCTGTATGACCTCGCTCTTGCCTTGAGTTTTTCCTTCAGATTGTCGAGGACTGTGGCAGCGCTGGCGACCGACTGTTGTTGTCTGCGTGAAATGGTGTGCCACAAAATTGAGAGTAGCAGCTGGAGGAGTTCAACCACCACCTGACGAGCGCAGACAACGGATACACCAAAGAACGCTCACGGCTCCTGCAGCCTGTCTCACCGTGCCAGTGTTCCGTTGATTAGCGGGGCTCTTGAGCTTGACTGCGTTGGCCATTAGTTGCGTCTTGCCCTTCTGCGAATTGAGATGGGACACCTAGCTTCTCAAACGGTCGTTGTCGGCTGCACCGGTGGTAAATAGAAGTAGAAAGGGTGAAAGAGGATGTAGTATACGCCAAGGGTGAGACGCTATTTGTCTGTGCACTCACCTCTGACTCGCTGCTCTTCAGTCTCTTTCTGCTTGATTGCTTTTTCTCTTCGCTGTCTGTGGCAGGCGCACATGGCCAGATGCAATGAATGCGAGCGCCAAGTGGGGTAAGATTCTCACTCTTGTGCGAGCTCAGGAACCTTGTGTCTCATCGCCGTGTCCCTTGCAGCCAAAAACCTCCTAACCTCGTCAAAGGCATCGCCCTGCATTTTGTCGATCTTGTTGCGCGACACACACACACATTCGCAAGATAATGAGTGCATCGATCGACGATCCGCCCGACTTGAGGGCGGACGCAAACTCACCTTGCTGAGAAGTCTCTTGGTTTGCGCGGCAGTGAGTGGCTGTTTGTCAAGCTTGAGCAACATCGTGTCGATCACACGCCTGCAGGGCCTGGCCTTCGTATCGAAGCCCAGGGCATACTCAAGTGCATTCGTGCCTTCTTGCCATTTCACGTGCTGATCCGGCCACACACGATGTCCCATAATAGATGGCATCTGCGACAGGGGAAAGACAATACGAAATGACGTGATTTGTATCCCATGCACACATGCGGGTGACCTTGTCGATCAGAGCCAGGAGGATACGATGCAGATTGTTGTTCCCACAGTCGTGGAGACAGTGGTAGATGGTGTAGGTCAAGAGAGTGAAGAGGCGAGATGATGTTCGGAGGGCAACAAAGCGGCGCTTGGACTGCAAGGACGTAATGTCAATTGATGATAAACCTTTTGCAAGTTCCTCAGCGATCTGCACCCCACATGCCGCGATTCAAATGTCTGCAGCCTCGTCGAGTCGTGCCAGCTTTACCCGATACTGTTTTGTCTCCACAGCGAGCACAAAGAGGGGCATCAGCATCCGAGATGGAGGTCGGCCTAGCGCTTGTATCTCTCTCACCCACAAGTCCTCGTTGCTTTCTATCAGCCGAAGCAGAAGCCCCGTGTTGGATGGCTCATCGCCATATCTGCGTGCCAGTAACTCATCGCTTGGCCTTATGTCAAGGTCCAATGAGGATGGAAGGGACTGGGGGTTGATGTAGGGTAAGCGCATGTCATCCACAATAGCAAAGGAGAGATCGGAACGTGACTGAGAAGTCGCCACCATTTCAAGCCATCCTAACCAGGAAGCCGCACATGCCGATAATGAACAAGCTTCCTCTCACTCGTACCTTTTTGACCACAAGGAAGTGGACAATCTCAGCTGCCTTTTCCTTGACGGCTTCGCTCAAAAGCTTTGTACCACCGGGGTAGCAGGGCTGGGAAAAACCAAGTAATTGGCCACATGCGTTGTCCAATCAATGACGTCCGCGTGCACGGTTTCGTCTTACCCTGAATTGTATAGTGAAGACGTGACTGTAGGGGCTGTCTAAGAAGGTACGGACTAGTTCTGGGCTCCTTTGAGCAATTGCATAGCATAAAGCGGTGCGGCCCAGTGAGTCTCTGAGTTGCATGTATTCGTCTCTGGCTGAAGAAATGCGGCCGAGATTGTTCAAGAGGATCTTCAGCGATGCCACATTATCGGACTCCATCGCCGCCAAATGAAGAATCGGCTGAGAGCAGGACAGAGCCATTTACAGAGAAGCCATGCAGATCCAAAATCCGTGACATCGTGTCGTACCCGTGTCAACCGTGATGGTGCAAGAGGGTCTTGCGCTGAGTCTTTGTAGATGTGCTCTGCCACCTTGTTGAGAAGGTTGTGCGCCTTGACAAAGGAGAACAGCTCCGAGAGAAGCTGCACACATTTAAAAAAGTGCCCGCCCATGAAGGCCATCAAATATACAACATACATACTTGTGCGTTGCCCGTCTTGACAGCAAGATGAAAAACATTCCACTTCTTCGGGTCCTGCTGAGTGAGAATCCGTTCGATGCGCGACTTCGGCTCTTTGGCCAACAGAGTCAGCAAATGTCGCACAATATCGATATTCTCTAGTTCGACTGCCATGCAAACAACAGAGCAGCGCTGTTTAGCTGCAGTGTAATGCACTTTGAAGTGCAGGCCCGTGTCTCTTGCATCTTTCTGACCGGCGATCATCAGTGAGTTTCGTGACGTGTTTCGTGGAAGCTCTTGAAAGGGGTCTGCTTTGTATTCGTCTACCATGATTTTCACGACATCTAGATCGCCGCCATGAATGGCGTATTGAACTGAAGTCTTGACCTCCTGGTTGACTTCCTGCTTTAGGCCCTCGTTTTTCATGACTTTTTGCACAACTAAAGCATCGCTTTGCTGCAGTAAGGTGATGAGCCGCACTTTCCCTCCCTTTGCTGATTGGAGAATGGCGGCCACCATTTGTGCATTGCCTTTTCTGACCAAACAAGGACGTAGCAAGGAAGAGAAAAATTGAATGATCCCCAGAAGCTTTCTTTGTACTGCGCAGCGAAGATGAGGGGGACACACAGAATCTCCATGCTGTCCGCACGAGACGGATACTGTTTCTTCGTTTCAGACAGCAAGAGCTCAAAGATGGCTGCCTGCTGGCCCGTTGTTCCCATTGCGCAGTACGTCAGGGCATTGTGGATGTTGTTCGTCTCAGAAGGCTCGATGTTTTGGATAGGGTTAGATCCTTCGGCAAGCAGGAATCTTACAACCTCCACATTTCCGGAGGCTGCACTCACCATACAGACGTATGCGGTATGGTCAGACATCGGTCAACCGAGCTGTCAACCGTCGAAGACGGCCACCTGTCTCTCAATCGCTTACCTGCAGCTTTCATGACTGCGGTTTCCTTGGTCTGCTTGTCTTCTTCCCTCAGACGGCCCGCAAACAGCTCAGCGCATATCCCAGTGATCTTTGCTTTGATGTTAGAGTCAATGTTACGACGGCCGTTGGTGGTCTCCAAGAAGCAGAGGTCGTTGTAAGCGCTGCTGATCCATCGTAGTGCATCCAAATTGTCCTTTTCGGACGCGAGAATATGCAGCGGCTGCCTTGACACATCTGCATGTCATATCACACATAACGTCACTTACTAAATGATGCAGATGCAATTATGTGCATATTTTTGTTTGCCAACCCTCAATTGTGGGCACATCAGCTACAGACAAAGAGACAGTGGGAGACACACAGACACCCATGCATGATGGAAGGTCATCTTTGCTTTTGGTCTCTTACCAAAGAGCGCCTCACGAATGTCAAATATGGACATGAGGTTCTTCAGGCGAGCACTTTCTTGGTTGTCTGCCTTTCTCTTCGATTCAATGATGTCCTGCATCTCATCGTAGAGCAGACGCCTCCTGAAAATACCATCACAGGAGACAAGAAAAGGTATGCAATGCAGAGGTGCTTTCTTACGCTGGCTGCAACCATAGGCGCTTGTCCAATTCGACATTCTGATGAGATGTAACAGCTTTGGCAACCTTCATTAGAGGACTTAGTCCTTCCAACATGTCTCGACAGCTCTCTTCAAGCGTCTTGCCTCGAATGTCCTTCAAGTCGAGGTAAGACGGCGGGGTGAAGTACCATTCGAAAGTCTTCAAAGCCTGCTCGGAGCCCTCGAAGCTGACTTGGACACGAAACAAAAGCTGAGAAAGCAAAATACAACAATCCATTATCATACAAGGACCTTTTTCTGTTCTCTACCCGTCCGTCGGCCTTGCTCCGGACAGCCAAAGCCTGCATTTCGCTAAGACAAAGCTCCATATCGATGCTGGTGCAGAAAACGGCTCCTTTTGCACAGCCCAACGGCTTGGGCTGTGTCTCTAGTGGCTTGAAGTTTTTGTCAAAGTCGAGATTATATGCTGGCTGCAAGACAAGAGCAGAGAGAAGCAATGCAAGTAAACACCCGCTTGTAAAGCATGATGGGGTCGCATCTGACCTGCATCTTTGCCGACCGCACTTGGCAGTTCCGTGTGCACTTGATCTGGGAAAGGGAGAGAGGCGATCATGTGTGCAAAAATCACCGAATACTGACGCGTCAGTTTTCGTGCGCTTACATTGATTGTTAGCAGGTCACCCTTCCCTTCACACGAAGTAGGTGCCGTCTGAATGAAGATAAATTGCTGATCCCACATAGCTTGAGGCGATAAGGGCGGCGGTACAGCACTGGCTTTTGTCGGTTCTTGTGCCGCAAGTTGTGCGTACAAGTACTGAAGTGGTGAATGACAGTGATGCCGGATCTCCGTTTTCTATCACTTGGCGGCACCCCTTTGCCTCTGCCTCTTACCTTGACAGAAGATTCGATCCCACATTCGTCGCGACCTTTCACTATGTAAAAATACCTGTGGGAAAGGCACCACACACAAGAGGGTAAGCCCTGCGATGAGTAAGCACATACAGACATAGTTCATCATGAAATCTCACCCCCGCTGCCCCCATTGTGGACCCTGATAATGTACAGGCAGGCGCAGATGAGTGATGTGAGCATATGGCATGCACAATGGTGTCTTTCTTCTCACCCAACTGTTGCGCACGATCCAGTAAGGCGTGCTCCCCTCGCCCCATCCAACAATGACAACTGCATGACTTGAAGTAAGCGGAGACACACGGTCCCATTCATAGATCCCGCTGCGATATCGTTGAAAGTCCGTATGATGGTCTATTGCAGCATAAACCGGGCCATATTTGTACAGCTGAATGACACACGAAGTGCACGGCCAGTTCATAAAAGCGTTTACGGTTTACCTGCAGCTGAATGCACTTGCAGACGTCCTCATGCCTTAAGTGTCTCTTAAGGGAGGCGTCATAGTTGCGAATAGATGGGCAACTGAAATAGGGGGCTTCGTGCTTTGGGTCGGCTCGGCCTTGCTTGACAAGCGCTGGTACACTGACGGGTCTCCACAGTCGCTTGATATGGGCGTCGTCAGGACATTCAGGCATCGCTTTGCTACAGATACAGGCGTCTGTGTATGTGCATAGACTTGCAGACAACGTGACGATACTTACGAGGCACTTTTGCATATTTCCCCCCAAGCTGGTTGTCCACCATTTCCGCACGAAAGACGGTACGGCATGTCTTCCTCTGGCAAGGCATGAGGGACGTAATTGACGATGTGATCCTGTCATGAAATCAAAGCTTACCCAGGGCAGCGCATGCTGATGCGTACCGCTCGAAAGCAACGTGTGGGTTACCTGCAGAGACACAGAGCGACCACAGTGACAACCTTGCATTTATGACATGCATGATTTCCACCCGCTGACCTCCATTGCAGTGCTTGGTGATACACCTCACGAGATCTTGAGGCGAGAATGTAAGGCGATGTGATCCGTCAGCTTGCTGCCTAAGCATCGTCTGTTTGCTTTTCTTGCCAGCCGCGAGCTGCTGCAACTCAAGCACACAGACGCGGTTTGCGAAGACAGATGCTGCGGTAAAAGCCCAACACACGCCGCATTCCCCCTGATTCTGTGGGAGCTGATTTGGTCGAGCCTTGAAGCACGCGTGCCACGGGTGGTCTGCCTTCAGTGGATTCCATTCTTTCGGAACCTTGTCATTGAAGCCCACTCTCTCAATCGAATAGTCAACGACAAAAAATTCTGTCGTATTGGTGGATCCCAGCGTAGATAAAAAGGACTGCTTTTGGGGCCCTGTGTCTCCTGATTTTCCGTACAGAAGCTGGTCGTAGTGTTTGTGTGCATCGAAGGCAGAGTCGCTCCAGAGATGGCTGCACAGCTCGATTGTATCGGGCAATGTCTCCTGACAGTAGAACTCTTCGTCACACTTAGCGGTGCCTCGGCACTTGAAAGCAGCAGTGCTCCCTCGAGCTTTGCATATGATACCCTCTTGCTGCCTCTGCGAGCATCGGAAGTCCCATTGTGCGATAGGTGCTGACTTATCATCAGACGGTAGAAGCGCATATACACGCTGAAAAGAGCCTGTCCCTCCTCCACATCCTTTGCCCCTGTGAGACAGCTGGAGGTCGAGCTGCACTTCTGTCCCCTCCGGCACTGCTCGAACCAAAGCACCGAGAACATTCTGCTCACTGATGCTGATCCGTTTTCCAGGGCACTCCTTTGTGACTCGCTCGAAATAGCCGTTGACCGCCCTGAGTGCGTCGGCGACAAGCGCTTCCCTGCGGGGCAGAGGAATGGGCGCATCTTCCCTCTCGAGGTGGATGCTCTCCGCCGGTGGGAAAACGTCGTCAAGCAGGCATAAAATCCCCGTTCGATTTCCACGATATTGGCATCATTCTTCTCGGTCATTTTCTTCTCGATGAACGCCATGACGATGTCGTCATGGGTCTTGCGGTTGAGTGATTCGTCCTCAGCTGCCGCGACACTGCGCTCCGAGGGCCGAAGAAGCACGTACAGCTCCCCTCCCGTCGACTCAATTGCCAGAGTGCCCTCGTCCGTCTCACGTATTGTCTCAGTGACTTTTTGTCTTGAAGAGGGGCAGTAGATGACGTGCAGAAAGTCCACGTCCTCCGCGTCGACGGGGCCCAGCAGACTGCCCTCAGCCGTTCTCTTCAAGTTGATCAGAGAGAGCGCGTGGAAGAATGCCTCTCGGACGCCCCTCTCTTTGCCTTTCTCCCACAGCGACTGGGGAGTATCACCTCGAGTATCACTGCCCTCGTTTGGAAACCATACTTGCACGTCGTCGGCCTTGCATTTGAGGTCGACTCCTGTAAGTCGTTCGAGATGGGCCAGCAACTCAAAGGCGTTTGGTAACGGCTGCTCTGGCTGCTGAGTGCCGATTGCTTGTGAAGAAAGCAGAAGGCCTGCGAAGAGGGCCAGCATCATTCACGAGCCGACGCCGCCAAGCGAGCCGCCAATCTCGCGGGGACGCCCCCAGAGCCCCCCCGTCTCCCCTGTGCATGTCCTCGCGATGGCCTCCCGCCACAGCATGACGTCGCCCCCCGACACTGACCGACCAGCAGAAGGACGGGAACTCGAAGAGAAACGCCGTGCTCGAGTCCAATCCAAGTCGGTCTCCCTTCCCCGTTCCCGACAGGTTGGCCATTCGGAGGATGAGGCCGCAGAAGGGCCGCATGAAGAGCTGCTGGCAACGATAGGTGGGACAGATTGATCGCAGTCACGAGTACACAGTAGCCCCGAGTGTCTGGGGTGTGTGCTGATTCAGAGGTTCTGGCTGACAAGCGGTGGGTGTCTTCTGAGAGAGTTTGCATACACCTCACAATCAGCCCACAAGTGTGTGTTCCTTCAGGGGCCAACTGAGAGAGTTCTTCAGTGAAGCCGTCTTGGCCAAGACTGTGTACATCCACCTCTCAGATTACATCGTCACTGTCGAGAAGGCACGCGGGCTCCTGCGGGGTGAGTGTAATGCACGGTGGCCCCTCGTCACACACACGTGTGCGTGTCTTGCTGATTTGTATGTAGACAATAGACTGACCCCAGAGGTAGCAGCGAATACTGAGGGGAGCATTCGCTGCCTTGATGCTTATGTGCGTCCAGGCTTTTGAAGTATGTTCACAGCGCATCCGACACCTGACGGAGCATTTTCAAGACGAATGGACAAAGGAGCAAAGGTCTGCCGCGGTGGTCACTGGTGCTTGACGGACCTTTCTATCGTTTTCCCGCCCGCTCAGGTCCCTCTACTGGAAAATGCTGAGGTCCCTCTTCAGCGCAAGATACGCGACAACTGCAGAGGTGAGGCGAGGAGAGAAGCAAAGCCAATTGGCCATCATGGTAGGGATCTCTGCCTCTTCATCAGGACACGATCGACAATGACGGTGTAGAGGACCTAGAAGACCGGCCTTTGGTGAGATAAATATACCTCTTGTCATTCATCAAAGGCCTGGTGCTTCTTTGCAGGACATGAAATTAGCAATGCTCGCTCGCGGCCTCAGCAGTCTCGAATGCAAGCGTCACACGACTGCCGTTGTGTCTGTCTCTTCACGGATCATTGTGTATGCAGTGTTGGCCCATGGCATCGAGACTGAGAATCTGATGGAACAGCGAGATGATGTGTCGGGCCACACGTCGGTGGCGACTCAGTCGAGACGAACAACGAAGACGCCCGCCGCTGATGATGCATCGTACATGGAGCAGCACCATGCGGCGATGACAGATAGAATCGGTACGAAAGAGACACAAAGGATCACGGCCCTCCTGCATGCTTTCTTCTGCTGTTTTTGTGTCCGCTCTCAGCGTTCTTGCAGCGATTGCTGAGGGGAGAGGACCGTGGCAACGAGTTGGACTCGCCAATATTGGTAAGGGCGAAGCACAGTCAGACATATCTGAGGAGGAAACGTCCACAATCCCGTTTGTGTGGATGCAGGGTGTAGTGGGTCCAACGGGGTTTGAAGTTCCCAAGCTCAAGAAGGCTGGGACGCAGCTCGAGACCCTTATCGTCACTGCATCTGACAAGATGAGGGGTGAGGCGAGCACTGCACGAGATGTCTGTCACATCCTCCCCCTATTCATACGTGTGCTTCGCTTTATGGATCCACCAGAGGAGCTCAGGAGAAAGAGCGCGGCCGCCAGCAGCGAGCGCCCACACACATCCGCCCAGCCGTATAGCCCACACGTCGGATTCTTGGGAGACCTCAATGCGCCCGACGGCAACGACAGCCGCATGCTCACCACGCCCCGTGGGCGAGAGATGGCCCAGAGGATCGACGAGCTGGCGCACATGCATGCCATGGGTGAGCCGGATGAGTTCTCGAGTGACAGCGACCTGTCGACACCAAGGCCAGGGAGACGTGTTCGGTTGGTCGAAGAGATGGATCAGGGGGATGGCGAGCCTCATACAGAGACGGGAAGGCAGGAAATGAGGCGGTGCTTCAGCGTCGAGGGCCTTCGCAATAAGAAAGTACTCAGTCGGCGGATGAGTACCCTACCGGTAAGCAAGCGGCTGAGATGCAAGTATCATGCCGTCAGGCACACCGGCAAAGGGTAAATTACGTAGACAGACACGGCGAGCAAAACGCCTGTGAGCAATCAGTGTACGCGTCTGTCGTCTTTTTCAGGTCTTATTCGTCTCTCGATGAGGTCGCGGCAAGCCGCAAGCAAGACGCAGACTATGCCGACTCCCTCTGGCGCGTGGACCACCATGAAAATCGGAGGCAGGTGCCGCCTCTCGACCTCAGGAGCATACACCTCCGCCCTCATGCACCAGCCAAACAGCCAGCTGTGGAAGCCGCCAGTGCCGCGACAGCGGCAGCAGCAGCAGCAGCAGCAGCCGTAGCTGCAGTGGCTACTGCTGCCAGGGAGGCCTCCCCTCATCCGCCACTTCAGGAAAGCCGACAGTATTGCGGCATGAACCTGGCCAGCTGCATGGTGCTCTTCACGTCGTGCTGGTCAAGGCCAGGCAAACCACAAAACGAGAGACCAGGTGCTGATGCACCGGCCAGTGGCGGCGCCGGTCTTCTTCCCGTTGCGTCAAGGGAGCTGCAAAGCACCGGGGCTGCAGCTGGGCTCATGGACGTGACAAGAGCGCCTGAGATTTCCAAGGACCGGCAACCTCTCAGAGACGAGACGAGGGACGGGAGACACAGACTGGTCTGACTTGAGGTCGGCGAGAGACACACCCATCCAACGCGAGATGCTGAAGCGCATGTCTGTCTGTCTGTCTGCACCGTGTGACCGTGGACAGGCCCAGACGGGGTGCAGGAGCAGTGAGACGAGCCAGAGAGAGCTAGACAATAGGCCGTGGCAATTGGGCTTCAGCGATGAAGTAATGACCAATCTGGTGGACGTTTTGACCGAACGCGTTCGTGACAGAGTGTGTCTCTCTTGGGACGTGCCATTTGCATGTGATTGTGGGAAGGAAATGAGAAGCGTACATCTTGAGAACTCTCACTTTCTTGCCTGTGTCCGCATAGCTGCACGTGTCTGCGTGTAATTCATGGCCATCCATGGATTCCCGGCCATCAACGTTGAGTGAGCTTCATGTCTCTTGACACTACACACGATATACAGGCAAATCCAAGGACAATCGTACATCTCTGTCCTTAGCGCAAACAACGCAAAATCCGTAGCCCTCTATGCAAACGTGCCAGTCGAATGCATTGGCAGCATTGCCCGTAAACACTAAGGATCCTCTCCCGCTCAGAAGCAAAATCAAAAACGCCTACTCATTTCCTTCCCGACCCCTATTCCACAGCAGCTTGGCTGCTCTCCTCTCTGGCCTGCCACGGCCACCTCCACGAGCACGGAAAACACCAGCAGCATCGCCTCTCTTTCACCTTCTGCTCCTTGGGCTGCTGGCTGTCTGCCTGTGTGGCTCTGCTCGCTCTTCTTCCGGCCCGCTGCCTGTGGAACTCCTCCTCTTCATCGGACAAAAGGAGGGACGAGATGGGATCGAAGGCGGCCTGGCGGAACAATACACCAAGCAGATGCACGCCTTTCACGAAAAGACATCATATCCGACTCGCCTCACTGACCGCGTCTGGGCGAATGGCGCATGGCTTGGGCAGGGCAGCGCGCTGCCACGTACACAAGTATACAGACAGATACATCGTCACATACGCATCCTCTCCTCGCTCTTTTGCTGTCCTTACCTGTGATTGCTGGGGGCCGGGCGGGCTGGTGGGCTTGTCTTGCATCAGGTGAGCATTCTTGTAGACGCTGACACAAAGACCCGCACAAATCAATGGACACGTGCCTGATTATGTGTTCGTCTTCCATCGACCATACCCTCTGGACTGGCTCCTCAATTGTTTGAGATCTCGACGCGCTCGGCCCACCATCCCATCAGCTGATGAGCGAGGGCGCACTGGAATCCCTGAAGATGATGTAGTAGACCGCGGCGAAAGGGATGTTGACGTATACGCTTGCACATTGGCGCGCTGCTGATCACGACATGGATGCAAGGTCGCATTCAGAGGCGGTCTGTGTGTCTACCCCTACCCCTCTCCTCACTGACCTTGCTGTTCATGGTCTCCTTGACTTCGTTGTCCTCTGCCGTGTCATTGAGCCGTTGCTGTTGCTGCATGTGCAGGCAGAGAGGACAATCATCTCTGTGTGTCTACCCCTACCCCTCTCCTCACTGACCTTGCTGTTCATGGTCTCCTTGACTTCGTTGTCCTCTGCCGTGTCATTGAGCCGTTGCTGTTGCTGCATGTGCAGGCAGAGAGGACAATCATCCGTCAATACGCGCGCCTGTGGTGTGTGCGTGTGTGCATACTTGTTCTTCCACTTGTCCGGTGGTGGCCTGGATGAGGGCACCGATGAGGGGCGGACCAGGCATATCGAGTCCTGCATACACACATACGCATGAACACGAATCCAGTCATACATATGCTTTCTTTTGGCTGTCTGCCTGGCTGGATGGCACCCCACCTGGGGACACGACATCGATGTCCTTCTCCGGCGCTCCTTGGTTGACCCTGTCATCTTGCAGCACCTCAGTGCCTGTGACCTTAGTCTGCTCATACACGCCAAGAATGATCTCTGTGCGCACCTCTTATTTCGTTGCTCACTGACCTCCATGGACTGCTGCTGGTGGTGGTCCTTGAGTGTCTTGATGGCCGGCAGCAGGGGCAGCGGCTGGCTCGCGAGAGATGGCGACGAGAGGGGACGCTGGCGGTCGGCCTCACTCTTTGCTTCCTCCGAGCCGATGCCGGAGGACTCGGCAGATGAGCCCATTGAGCCCTCGCCGCCCCACAGGTCCTTTTGCTTCTGCATCATCTCTATGCGGCGCTGTCCTCGCGCCGTCATGGGCACTGCGTCCAACTCGTCTTGCCCCTGGGCTTCGGAGGGCAACGCGGCCAGCGAGCCAAATGCGGTGGCGAGGGGGAGGTGGCCACCGGCTGTGTCGATGCTGTCGAAGCCCGTGTGGCGGACGGCGCGGCTGAGAGGGGACACATCGTCGGTTGAAACGGTGCGGCGGTGCTGCAGGTGGGGATGGGCCGTGAGAGGGCGCGACGACGCCGAGGGCTCTGAAGAGGGGGAGGAAAAGGGAGAGGTAAATGTGTGCGTCGAATGTGTTGTATCCTCACTGTCGTCATCATCGTCGGACTCCTCGAGTCCTTCGAGGGCCGATGTGTGTGCACGCTGATTAGAGAAAACCAGCATACCCGACACACTCATGTGACCCCCAAGCTGACGTCAATCAATCTATGTCTGCCCTTTGCTTACTCGCAGGCAGATAGATGGCTTCCGCAGTAAGGAAGCTTGAAGTGGATATTTCATCATGTGCTGGAGACGGGCTGCACATGCCAAAGCCAACCACAGACACACCACACAAGAAGAGAAGGGCGACGGAAGAGGAGAAACTACATACGTGTAGCGATGCTTACAGACTCGTCCCACGACTGATTCCAGCTGCATGGCCATCTCACAGTTGTAAGCGCCTGCCTTGGACACATTCAGCTGCTTCTGCATGCTCTTGTCGATTTCATTGCTGAGGCGCCGCACTCGCTGCTTGTCGTTGGTCATCTCCACCGACAATTCATCGGCAAGGCCTGACAGCATAATAGATATAAGACAAACCGTATCTCTCCGTCGCTGCCCACCTTGGAGGGAGGCTACTGTTTCTAGCATCTTGTCGATGTCCTGATCGCACACAACACACATACACACATACATACGTCCAAGCGACGACGAGTGATGGACAGGCTGTTAAATACCAGTCGGCTGGTGTCGCAAGGCTCGTTAAGGTCCTTGCTTGACTGCTGTTCAGCCAGCAGATTCTTCTGCACAGTCCAGAACATCACGCTAAAGGACAGGCAAAGCGAAAGGGAAGTAGAGGAGAGCAGAGTGTGTGCCTGATTGATTCGTTTGGGTATCCATGTTCTCACCGGCGTTGCATTGACCACGATTCTTGAAAGCCTTGCGTGAATGCCACCAGACGCCTGTGACAAGCTCTCAGGGCCTGCAAACATCACGCCACAATACAGACAATACCACTTTGACACACACATGGTTCTGCATCTTGTGATACCTGTGTTGTAAGTTCACTGTCCTCATCCGAACGGGGCGTTAAGGGTGTAGGCGGAGAGCGGCCTGCGGGCGTTCGCGCCGCTGGTGTGCTCAAGAGGGATGAATGGTGACTTCGCTTGGCCCCTGCTGGCGTCATCGATGGCAGGCCTTCAGTCTTGCCACTTGCACTTATCACCATGTGACAAGCTGCAGAAAGAGAGACAGAAGGGGAGACGTTTGAATGATACAAGGTATATGACGCGCACACACGGATTCACATCACCCTGAAAAGCCCTCGTGGCCGCCTCGACCGCGCTCCAGTACTGCAACCACAAATCGATACAACAACCAATAACAGACACAGTGACACACTGACTTTTGTCCAGACACTGCATGGCTTTCTTTCTTTCTGCCTCTCACCTCATTCATGTGCAGAAGCTGCACCGACGACCTCTCCTTGCCCTCCCGCTCCAGGTTCTCCTTCTTGTCCTGGAGAACAGCCAGCGCGTCCTCGAGCTCGTGATAGAGCTCGTCAACGGTCGTTGTCTTGTCCAGGCCCTGGGGCTCCGCCGGACTCCGATCTGCTTCATCATCTCCCTGGTTGTTGTCGTCGTGGATCTCCTGTGTGTGGCGGAGAGGCGGAGGAGTAGAGAAGCGGACGGACGTGCGCTTGGGGTGGGTGGCGGTGGTGGTGTTGATGGCGGTGATGGCGGTGATGGTGGCGGGAGTGGGGGAGGGGAGCGATGGCGGGGGCTCTTCGTCGACGTTGATGTCTCTGAAGAGCTGAGGCGAGAGGGGTCGCCTGGCGAGAGGGGTCTCTGAAGAGCTTGGCGAGAAAGGATCCATCATCCTTGATGGACTGCAGCCGGCTCGATGGGAGGGAAGGGATAGCTGTCTGGATGGGAAGAAACTGAAGAGAGATGACGGGGTGGGGTCTCAGAAAGGCCGCCGCAGCACGTCTGTGACGTGGTGGACGCAAAGGAGAAGCCCGAAACCGGCGATCGCGACCTTTGCGGGCTTTGTTCTCCCCTCCCCCCCAACAAAAACACGATGTCGTCGTATCCCCAGTCATATCCTGCGCCCCAGTACGGTGCTCCTTCCACGGGGGTGTCAGCCCCATCAGCATACCCAAGTACGAGCCAAAAGAACCGCAAAATCACCTTCCCTCCACTTCCCCCAACAGCACATCTCTTGCTTGTGGGGGTGTGTTCTGTCGGCTTGTGCGTGCCTCAGTGGGCGTTCCGGGATACGAGGCGGCCTATGCTGCCTACCCTCCTGCCTCCGCCTACCCGGCTGGCGATGCTGCTGGCGCGACGTATGGCTCCTATGAGATGCCGCCTGGCTATCAGTATTACCAGCAGTACCCCGCCGGCGGCTATGTGGTGAGCTTTGCCGTGGGGCAAGAGACCTGCAGATGTCCTTTCCTGCTGTGTCTTGGATTGTGTAGGTGACCCGTGAAGCCAAGAAGAAGAAATCTTGCTGCTAATTTCGACGACCACCACCGACCCGACAGGCGACAACTACTCTTCAAGCTGCAAGACGCGCAAGACTTCACCATTGATGGATGGATACATACTAGCAGACAGATATAGACGTTCGTATGGGGATGTACACACGTATTTCATAGGTGGATAAAGGGGTCACATAGGTAAGGGATGGGCGAGAGAAAAGGGGCAGGGCAGGGCAGGGAGGGGGCACACCACACCACAGCACAGCACAGCACTCGTCTGGCCGACCGTTTTTTTGCTTCCATTGTTCTTCTGTTATGTCATGAGAGTACAGCCAAGTGGGGCAGTCAGATTGCATTGCATTGCATTCAATGCATCCATCCATTCACCCACAGCACACCGCACAGACAAGAGATCACGCCACACATGTGTGGGGAAGAGAGAGCATTGCATCCACCCGAGACCCAAGCACCCCACCCATCCATCATCACGCATGGCTGAGCTATGACTGACTGACTGACTGACTGGCATGCCACGGACTTATCATTCCCATGAGCTGAAAACGTTTGCTGCCGCCCGCCCTTGTAGTATGATTGATACACGCGCCATGCGCACGAGCGCACATGCACATACAAGTACATGACACAAAAACGGTGAAAATCGAACGTCTGTACATGCATTGCAAGCGGGACATACAGAAAAGGAAAAGCGAGAGCGAACAATCATCCGCTGCTCTTGCCCCTCTGTGTGCATCTGGTTCTCACCCTGACCACGCAGGCGACACACAGACTGTTGCCATCGTGAGCACTCCCGTCGCTCCGTCTCGTGTATTCCGCCTTCCCCGATCGTCCACGCATCTGCCATGGTGCCGTGACTGTGAGGCAACACATCTTCGGAGATGTGTTCCCTCAGCGTCACAGCAGACAAGTTGATGCACAAACGAGAAGGGAAGAAAAGGCAGCAAAACAGACTCTGTACAGCCATGGTACACGTATCCCCTCCCTCCCTCCCTCCCTCCCTCGTTCCCATATATCTGTTTGTATCCATCTATCTTTCTGTCTCAGCCTCTGTCGGTTTTGCTCCCGCTGCTGCTGCTGGTCCTCGGCCGTTTCACAAGCATCGGGCGCTTCTTGATGCCTTGGAAACGCAACAAGGCCGCCTGACCAACAAACACACGGAACCACACATTGGTGAACGCCTGCATGTGTGTGGCCGCATACCCTGAGGTTGTGGTAGGCCCATTCGTCCTTGCTCACACGAGGGAAGTTGCGGGGCTGGCGGAAGTCCTTCTGAACAAACGACGACAGAGAGGGCTCTGAGGTGAGTGTGGCTGCGTGTGTGTGTGTGTGTGTGTACTCACCGCGGCGCATGTCTTGCACAGGGGCACCTTGGTATCACCAGCTGCACACACATACAAACAAACGGTCTGTGCACACCACTTTCTCTGTGTGTCTGTTTGGCATACATACAGGCGTGCTGGGCGGAGAAGACGCGTGTGGCGGGCTCTGCACACTCGACACACGTGTGCTTGACATACAGCTCCTTCCACCCTAAGCGACCGCGAGTCCTGCAAGCCAAACGAGACGCACCACATCCATGCAACTCAACTCCTGCCCATTTGTCCATCCCCCCCAACCCACCGAGTGCCCGTCTGCTTGATGTGGTGTCGCTCGCAGAGCTGCTTCCACAGGTGCTGATCCGCAAACAAGGAGGCTTCCTGCCACACACCGGACACCTGCACACACAACAGACAGCCAGACAAATGACGAACGACGGCACACGAACGACCTCAGCCGTGGTGACCTGCTCTTACCTGCTCGCACGCAGCGAGTGCCCGACCGCAGCCCAGATAGCTCATCACCGTGTAGGCGCACTCAGGGCTGAGCGCCATGATCACCACGATGAGCGGCTCTATCACTGCAGACACACACCAGGCAGATGTAGTTGGAAGCGCTGTCATTCCTGCTGTTCTCCTCCTGCATCTGCGCTTACGGTGCTCATCTCCTTTTCCCGACCGATGCTATGAGAGGTCCACACACTATATCGTGCTTGGGGCGTGGAGCCTCGAAACAAAATTATAAGCTCTGATTGCCATGAGGACGCAGAATGGCTACAAAGGCACTTCGAGAGGGCTTCCCTGTTCCCCCCTCTTCCCTCCTTGCGAGCTCAGAAGCTCGCGCAGATCTGCCAGCATCTGAGCAGAAAGGAGGCTGCTACGCCGCCAGCGGTGGCGTCTGAGTGGTCTGCGAATGAAGGTGAGGAGATCGCTGCTATGGGCCGTCGCCCTCGCGTCAATGGCTGTGCTTGAGGCTCTCGGCGTCCGCCATGATGGATGCACGAGTGCCTTCTGCCCCCCCTCTCCCTCTCCCCTCTCATCCGCCTCCTCCAGCTCTTTCCTTCTGCGCCCCTCACCAAACCATCGGCAGCACAGATCTCTCCCGCCACCCATCATGTCAGCATCGCCGTCAGTGGCTGAGCGCGAGTGGGGAGCGGCCTTGAAGGACACGTCATACGGCAAGCAGGAGTTCGTGCAGACGCTCAAGCTGCCCCGCCGCATCCCCGACCGGCCTTATCGGCAGCTGAGTTGGATGAAGAAGCACTATACCCAGACGGGCAACGAGAAGGCATGGGTCAACGACCATGTCGACCAGATCACTGCAGAGCCGGAGGAGCTGACCGCCAAGATGGAGGCATTCGCGGACTTCTTCAGCTTCACGCCTACGCAGGTGTTCAAGCTCATCAAGAGGTGGCCGCTGATCATCAACAGGGACTATCAGTCGATGGCGCAGCAAATGCAGTCGTTGGGCTTCAGCAAGGACGACGTGAGCAAGCTGGTGTCGGCCGAGCCTTTCATTCTCAAGGCGCCCGTCGAGAAGAACGTGCAGCGGCTGGAGGAGCTCTTCTCCTTTGACAGGAAGGAGGTGCTCGAGCTCTACCGGAGGTGCCCCTCTCTGCTGAAGATCGGCCGGCCAGACGTCAAGGCCAAGAACCTCTGGCTATTCGGATTCGAATACGACCAAATCAAAGAGATGGTCAAGAGGTACGTAAATATTGCCATCGTGTACATGCTCACGAGTCCTATGGCGTGTGGCTGCGTGTGTGGCGTCGTGTGATGTGTTGCCGGCCATCCCTTTATTCTAGGTGGCCCCGTCTGTTGACACAATCAGTGGACAGGTGCTACCGGCCCAAGATGCACCTGTACGAGAAGCAGATCAAGGGCGACCTGTCGGACATCATCGCCTTCCCCCAGTACTTCTCCTACGGCCTGCGCTCCATCCTCATGCCGCGCATCGACGCACTGACGCGCGTCGGCGTCGCCCTCCCGCCGGTGAAGCAGCTGTGCCTGCTGAGCGATGACGTCTGGTGCGAGGCCTTCAGCGTGCCCAAGGAGTACCTGCTCGAGGCCAGACTGGAGAATATGTACAAGCCAGCACCGGCAGAGAACATCTAGTCTAGATGGACACGACGGACGAACAGAGAGAGCGAGGGAGGGAGAGGGAGAGGAGGGATTTCAACCGATCGCTGCATGTCTTGGTTGCTGGATGACACAGCAAGAGAGAGAGAGAGAGAGAGAGAGGTGGAGGGGTGGCTGTGAAGCAGTCTGTGTTGTCTGGCGGCGGCCTCTCGTACTGGATGGTCGCGATGTGTGTGTGTGTGTGTGTGTGTTTGTCATATATCGGACATGGTCAGTCATTGTTGTGACGGTGAATGCATGCATTTCATCCTCAGAATGAGAGCTTCGCTGCCTGTGTCATTTCGTCAGACGTACGCACACTGAATACATTAATGTCAGTTGTCCGCTGGAGTTCGCACGCACATGGACACACACACACACACACATCCATCCATCAATCAATCCGTATGCTGCACAAGGCTCCACCCAGTTGGCTTTTCCACAGCAGCAACGCAACGCGCCACACAAGACGACCACAACACGATGGTACGCAAGGAAAACGACCACATGAGTCCGCCAAAGAATGGGTGTGGCGGTGGAGGGACGCATGGAGGTGTTGGCGCACAGGCAGTGACGGCAAGGCACGGCCATCATCGTCTGGGCACCAACACACCATTGCGTCCATCCATCCATCCATACATCACATAGCGCACCATCATGTCCATCCAATGCACCAAGCCAGTAGACATACATCCACATACACATGCACAAGCCAGTAGACATCCCTCCCTCCCTCCCTCCCTCCATTTGCCTCTTCTCTCTCGGTACGGTCGGTATATACATCAGATAGACAGAGGCATACAGTACTTATACAGAGAAAGACGTGGCCGACAAGTGATGTGATGCACATCAACAGGCATGCCATAGTGAACGAACGGCATATATTGAATATATCAGTACTTACATAACGCTTGTTTCCTAACACGCACGCCAGCATGCCCTCAGTCAGTGATGGATAGCCCTGTGTGTGTCGCTCATTTCATTCTCTTTGCTGTCTTTTCTGAGCGTTTGTGTCTGCCGGTTCGTTCGATGCGCCTCGAACGCACGCAAACGATCCAAAAAGGCAGCAAAGTGAAGGTGAGTGAGCACACCACACCAACCAGTCAGTCACAATCATCAAAACCAACCAACACAGAGAGGGAGTGTGCGCGTGCGAGCGTGTGTGTGTATGGTGTGTGCGACAAAACCACCCCACACACCCACCATGAGCCAATCCATCCTTCTCCCTCCCTCCCACCCTCCCATATGCACATGGTCGCTCTCTGTATCTGTCTGTCTGTCTATCTATCAGTATCTCGCTTAGGATTGGTAGATTCGGAATGTGCGTTCGATCCGTTGTTGGCATATGGGGCAGCGGCCTGTGGACCTCACTACCGACGTGGCGCACGCTTGGCACACGCAGAGGTGGTCTGACAACAAACAAACAAGCATACACACACACATACATACAGCAACACCAGGTGTGTATGTGTGTGTGTGTGTGATGTCTGTTTGTTCTTGTGTTGTGTGTGCTCTCACTGCATGGGCTGAATGCATGTGTCTTGTGCCGCTCGTGGCACACCGCACAGAAGCGCTCCAAGTCGCGCCGCTCCTGCAGCTCCCTCTCTACCGCAGACACCTGACGCTTCAACTGACACACAGACACACACGCGGAAGCACAAACAGGTAGAGGAATACAGGCTTGTCGTGTGTGTGTGTGTCCATATCACCTGATCCAACCGTGCCTCTAGCTGGGCCATGCTCATATTGCCATATCCCCCACCCCTACCGCCACCCCCTCCCCCTCCCGCCGCCTCCACCCTCACCGCCCCCTGCCGCCGCAGCTGCTGGATCTCACGGTTGAGGCTCTCGTTGATGCTCGCCTGTTTGTCGATGATCTCGTCCTTCCTGTCACTCTCGCGGCGGAGTTTGGCAATTTCCTTCAGCAGCTGGTCGTAGTTCTCCAAATCCCGAAGCCTCTCCTCTTCCTCGTCATGCGGTTGGTTGCGGTGGTGGCCGTAGTTGGTGCGATGGCGGCGGTCTCTATCAGGGAACAAGTCGCGCTGAGAGCCGCGCTGCTCCGTCCGGCGGCGGTCGGTGTCGTACACCATCTCAAATCTGCGGCCGCCCTGCCGCCTAGTGGCCGACATGCAGGACAGTCAAGGTGAGCGATGAGGGGCGGAGGGGCGGGAAGAGTGGGACATCTGCGGGCGGGCGGTGAGGGAAATAGGGATGCGGGGCGACGGATGGCAGGGAGATGGTCCTCCCCGCCGAAATGAGCTACCACCAGTGAGTGGTGGACGAGATGCCGAATGCCGATGTCTAGAACGAAGGTCTCCTCAGCGACAAGATGAGGGCCGATGCCGCTCCTGCACACGCGCGCGGGAATTTGTTGCTGCTGGAAGGCTTATATGCTGTCTTCACTGCCTTGCAGAGTTTGAGCTCGCAAACAGAGAAACAATCGGAGAGAAATCTCGTTTGAGGCCCTGTGCGGCTTGGTTTGATCATGTCGAAGCTCGACGGCCGGAAGGCGCGGCCGCGCGCGGCGCTCGACGACGACGATGTCGACATGGACGCCGGTGAGCTGCAACGACTCATCCCCGGGCTGATCTGGCGCACGGATGTGCGGCTGTGCGTGTGTCTGATGTGCTTGTTGTGCTTGTTGTGTGGTGGTAATGCGGTCAATGCGGTCAGACAACGACGATGGCGAGCCGATGTCGAAGCGGATGCGTTCGTCTGACTGGGACGATGAGTTCGAGCCGCTCAAGAGGAAAGACCTCGACGCACCGCTAGACCCCAACAATGACAGGATAGGTAGGTATCGTATCTGATCTGATGCACATACCAGATCACTCATGGTCGGATGGATGGATGGATGGATATCTCTTTGTGTGTGCGCAGTGTTCATGCAGATCGACATCGACCAGTACACTGGCAAGGCCAAGAGGGACATGTGGCCGCAAGGTACACACACACACACACACACACACACACAGGCACACACAGGCAGACAGAGCGCCACATCCATCCATCCATCACGCGCATCCCCCGAGTGTGGATGCGTTGATCGACCAGGTGGCATCCCTGCGCCGGACCAGGAAGTGCCGATCCTGCGGATGTTTGGCGTGACGGAGGGCGGGCAGAGTGTGCTCGCACACATACACGGTTTCATGCCCTACTTCTACTGCCAGGCACGCACACAACCAACCAACCACACCGATAGATAGCACAATCCACAAATCCCTCCATGTGTGTGTGTGTGTGTGTGTGTGTGTGATGGTGGTCTGTCTGTCTGTCTGTCTGTCAGTGTCCGGACAAGTGTCGCGATTCGGCCAAGATGAGGGCCAAACTCGAAGTCAGTCAGTCAGCAGCCAGCCGATACTAGAGATGTGCAGATCAGATGGTGTGTTGCTTGTGTGTGTCTGTGTGTGTGTAGGAGCGTTTGAGGGTAAACAACCGCGGCATCAAGCAGCTGGTGCTGCACGTAGAGGTCGTCCAGAAACAGGTGCATGCGCACACACACACAGGACATCGACACACAGATACCCAACACACACCACACCACACCACACCATTGCGGATGGATGGCTGGATGGGTTCGGCTTCGTGCAGTCTCTGATGTGGTATGTGCCCGACTCGACCGCTGACACTTCCCACTTCTTCCGCATCACAGTCGCACAGCCGAGGCTCGTGCCGCCATGCAGAGATATCATAGAGAGAGGTGCGGTGGTGTGTCGGCCAGGGCCAGGCCAGCACCCCTCCCCCCTTTGCTATGCACCTGGTGTGGCTGTCTGTGGTGCGTGTGGTGTGTTAGGTTTGGAGTTGCAGCCGGGCGCGCGTGTGCCGACGACCCCCTACGCGACGTTTGAGAGCAACATCGCCTTCCCACTTCGGTACATGATCGACAACGGCGTCACCGGCGGCTGTTGGGTGGAAGGTAGGTCGGCTGACGGAACGAACACACACATACATACCCATCCGCCCACACCCACACCCACACTAAGAATGACGGCACTCGTTCGTGTGTACGTGTGTGGGTGGCGTCTGTCTGTGTGTGTGTAGTGCCTGCCGGTAGCTATCAGGTGCGCAGCCACGCCACGACGGTGGGGCTGTGTCAGATCGAGGTGGACCTTCCCTACACAGGTGGGTGTGGGTGCTGGTGGGCGTGAGTTATGCATCACACACAGCGGGGCTATCGAAGCTTTGCTCCATCCATCCTTTTCGTTCGTCAGATTTGGTGTCGTTGCCGACGGACGGTGACTACATGAAGCTGGCGCCCCTGCGTGTCCTGTCATTCGGTCAGGCGGCACACAACACACAACACACACATACACAGACAGACAGACATGCAGGCCACCTGTGGATGGATGACGTGTGTGGGGGTGTGGGGTCAGACATCGAGTGTGTCAAGCTCGAGGGCCAGGGGTTCCCTCAGGTAGGCCCCCCCCCTCAGCCACACACGCACGCACACGCAGCACACAGATGCGTGTGCACATATTGTCGTGTCATGCGTGTCGGTCAGGCTGAAGAGGACCCCGTCATTCAGATCGCAACCGTAGTCAAAATACACGGTAGGAACGAAACGACAGACAGACAGAAGTGCGTGCATCTGTGTGGGGTTTGTGCTGTCTGTCTGTCTGTCTGTCTGTATGTCTGTCTGTCTGTGTGTCTGTGTGTGTGCAGGTGATGAGGAGCCCCTGTGGAAGGCCGTGTTTGTGCTCGGCACATGCGCCCCTGTCGCCGGTCAGCCAGCCACACCACATGCGCATGGATCCTCATGGTCTATGTGTGTGTGCAGGTGCGCACGTCTACACCTTCGAGACCGAGTATGAGCTGCTGCAGAGGTGGAGCGACTTCCTCACCATTGTAACCACCACACACACACACACACGAAGGAATACACACGTGGGGTGTGTGTGTGTGTGTGTGTGTGTGCAGGTTGACCCCGATGTGCTGACGGGTTACAATGTGATCAACTTCGACCTCAACTACCTCATCACGCGGGCAGGCATCCTCAAAGTCGACAAATTCGCACACATCGGTCGGTCGCTCCGCCCGTCAGCCAGCCAGCCACACGCGTGTGTGTGTCTGTGTCTGTGTCTGTGTATGTGTATGTGTATGTGTGTGTGTGTGTGTGCAGGTCGCATTCAGACTGCCAAGAGCAAGATTCGCGACACTGTGTTTCAGTCCAGGGCGTACGGCATCCGGGAGAACAAAGAGATCAGTGAGTTGACTCCACACCACACCACACCACACACGTGTGCCTGCCTGCACGTCTGGGCGTGCAACCAGATACGGAGGGCCGCGTGCAGTTCGACGTGCTTCATGCCATTCAGAGGGACCACAAGCTCAGGTGGGCACACACACACACACACACATCCATCCATCTATTCGCTGCAGGTCGTATTCGCTCAACGCCGTCTCAGCCCACTTCCTCAACGAACAGAAGGCAGGCAAGCACACACACGCCCATCCATGTACACCTCCTGCACACGTGCCTGCCTGCCTGCCTGTCTGCCTCTCTGCTGCTGTGTGTGCAGGAGGATGTGCACTACAGCATGATCGGGGACCTCCACAGGGGCAACGCCGAGACTCGCCAACGCGTCGCATCCTACTGCCTCAAGGCACGCAAGGAGCCACAGACAGATGACAACCACATGTGGAGAGAGAGAGAGAGAGAGAGATGCACGTATGGGTGTGTGTGCTGTGTGTGCTGTGTCGGGTGTGGTGTGTGGGTGTGTGGTGCAGGATGCGACCCTGCCGCTGCGTCTGATGGACCACCTGCTGTGCATGTACAACTACGTGGAGATGGCCAGGGTCACCGGCACGCCGCTCAGCTACCTGCTCACACGGTGCGGTCAGCAAGCAACAAGACAGACAGACACACAGACAGATGGATGGCTGCTCGCATGGCTTGCACAAACACAAGCAATGTCCCTCCTCCCTGTGTGGTGTGCCGTGAATGGTTTGGTTTGGTTGGCTGGCAGTGGTCAGCAGATCAAGGTCGTGAGCCAGCTCTACCGCACCTGCCTCAAGCTGGGGTACATCTTCCCATACGCTAAACAAGAAGTACGGTCGCACCCCCTCCCCCCTCCCCCTCCCCCCTCCACACACACGCACGGGCTGGTGCATAAGATGATGCACACACACACACGCGTCTGTGGTGTGTGTGTGTGTGTGTGTGTGTCAGTCTTCCGAGGAAAAGTTCGAGGGTGCGACCGTGCTGGAGCCTGAGAAGGTGTGCTGTGCTTTGTGGGTGGATACACACACGCACACATCCATCCATGCGTCCATCCATCCGTCTGTGCATCTGTGTGTGTGCAGGACTTCTACGGGGAGCCGATCGCCACGCTCGACTTCGCGTCGCTGTACCCCTCCATCATGATGGTGTGTATGTACGCCACACACACCCACAGACAGACACCAACACAGTGTCTCATGGCTGGATGGCTGGCTTCAGGCGTACAATCTGTGCTACTGCACCCTCATCCCGCCCCAATACGTGTCCCAGATGAACCCTGACGAGGTGAAGGGCGGGGTGTCCTGCCGCCGCTCATGGATAGTGTGGCTGATGTGTTGATGTGTTGATGTGTGTGTTTGTGCACTGCAGTACACCAAGACGCCCATCGGCCACTGCTTCGTCAAGAAGGACAACCGACAGGTACGGTATGCCTGTTTGGGGGAGGGATGGGTGCTCATATGTGTGTGTGTGGGTGTGTGCGTGTGTAGGGTGTGTTGCCGCTGGTGCTGACCGAGCTGCTGGCTGCGCGAAAGGCACACAGACATGCACACACACACACACAAATGAGCAGCCCACCGCATTCGTGTGTGCCTCACATCGCGTGTGTGTGCAGCGTGCCAAGAAGGACATGAACGCTGCGCAAGACCCACTCACGAAAATGGTACATTAATTACATGGATGGCACCACACCCACACACCTGCTCACATACGCACACACAGAGAGCCAGATGGCCAGCCAGTGGGATACCATCGGTGTGTGTGTGTAGGTGCTCAACGGTCGTCAGCTGGCCCTGAAGATCTCCGCCAACTCGGTCTATGGCTTCACGGGCGCCACGGTCAGTCACATCTATCTCCCCCCCTCTCTCTCTCTCTCTCTGTGTGTGTGTGGATGGATGGATGGATGGATGTGTGTGTGTGCAGGTGGGTCAGCTGGCGTGTCTTGAGATCTCCTCGTCTGTGACGGCATTCGGACGGCAAATGATCGACCAGACCAAAGAGGTAATCTCTCTCTCTCTCTGTCTGTGCCAACCACACTCATACACACACAGTGGGTGTCCATCTCTCTCTCTGCGTGCGTCTTTGTGTGTCATTTGTGTGTGTCTGCAGCATGTGGAGCGTCGTTACAAGGTAGCCGCGGGCTACCCCCACGACGCAAAAGTCATTTACGGCGACACCGATAGCGTCATGGTGTGGATCCGACCCCACCCCCTCTCAGCCCCATTGTCGTACCGTCCTACATCTCTCTCTCTCTCTCTCCCCGTCTGTCTGTGTGGGGGTACAGGTCAATTTCGGCGAGATCAGCGTTGAAGAGGCCATGAAATACGGTAGCAGGCAGGCAGCCACGGCAGAGACGACTGGACCGTCATGTGTGTCGCCACACACATCCACACACATCCACACACTGACTGACTGACTGACAGGTCTGGAGGCGTCCCAGGAGATCAGCAAGACATTCCCCCCACCGATCAGACTCGAATTCGAGAAGGTTTGCGCCCTATCAACACACGCACACACGAGATACCTACAACACGGGAACCATCGTATATGGCTGGCTGGATGGCTGGATGGCGACAGGTGTATTGTCCGTTCCTGCTGATGAACAAGAAGCGCTACGCCGGGCTGATCTGGACCAAACCCGAGAAATATGACAAAATGGACTGCAAGGGCATCGAGGCAAGCACCCTGAACCCTGCACACGCAGCCACACACACACAATCAGCAGACACCTTCCTTTCTCTCTCTCCGTGTGTGTGTGTGTTCAGACGGTGCGTCGCGATTGGTGTGAGTTGGTACAGAAGACCGTAGACGATGTGCTCAACCTCATCCTCGTGTAAGCACCATACCTCCACACATCCATCCATAGAGATACACGTGTGTGCTGCCTGCCTGCCTGCCTGCCTGGGTGGGCGTCTGGGTGTCAGGGAGCGTTCGGTGCCGCAGGCCAAGGAGTGCGTCAAGCGAGTAGGGAGGGAGGGAGGAAGGGGACACACACAAGCATACACACACATGGGCCCATGGATGGATGAGTGTCCCTGTGCCTTTGCCTGTGTGATTTACGCTGACTCGTGGGCGGGCAGGTGGTGGCGGATCTGCTGCAGAACAAGGTCGACATGAGCCTGCTCGTCATATCCAAGAGCTTAGGTACCATACCATGCCCACACGCGGCCACCCATCCCCCATCCGTGCATCAATGTGTGTGCAGCCAAGAGCGCCAATGCCGAGGATTATAAGGCCAAGCAGCCACACGTCGAACTCGCTGAGCGCATGAGGGCTCGAGGCAAGAACCCCCCCCACACACACCCACACACACTCACACACACTTATAGATGACCGTGTTTGTTCATCTGTGTGTGGCATGACATGGCCTGCAGACCCCACGAGCGCCCCTGCCGTCGGCGATCGCGTCGCATTCGTCTACATCAAGGGACACAAAGGTCACTCAGCCAGCCAACACACACAATGATCTGCTAAGCGGCTGTGTGTGCAGATGCTCGTGCGTACGAGAAGGCCGAGGACCCCCTGTACGTGTTGGAGCAGAACCTGGCCATCGACGCGCAGTACTACCTCGAGCACCAACTCAAACAGCCTATCATCCGGTGGGGGGGCACGTGCACATCGAGGCACACAGACCCACCGGCGGCACATTCACACACATGTGTGTGTGTGGTGTGCAGGATATTCGAGCCGCTCATGGAGCGTCCCGAGTCTCTGTTCGCCGGGAACCACACTCTCAAGGTCTCTGTGCCGATGCCCGCTGGGGGCGCCATGGCGGTACGTATCCACACACACACACACGTGTCATGTGCACTCTGTCCGTGTGTGTGTGTATGCGTGTGGTTGCAGAAGTTTGTGCAGCGGTCGTTGACGTGTCTGGGGTGCCGCGCGCCCATCAAGGAAGGCGCCCTCTGCAAAAACTGCAAAAAGAAGGAAATAGAGGTCATTCACACACAGATTACTTACTGTCCCCCTCTGTGTGCACCGCCATGGCTGTCTCTCTGTATCTGTGTCTCTGTGTTTCGATGTGCAGATCTACTTGAAGAAATTGGACACGTTCCGCGACAGGGAGCTCGAGTTCAACAAACTCTGGAGCGAGTGCCAACGGTCAGTCAGCCAATCCCACACACACACACACACACATCCATCCATCCATTTGTGTGTCTGTCTTTCCATCTGTGTGTGCATATTATGATTGTGCAGTTGCCAGGGTTCGCTGCACCAGGACGTCATCTGCACGTCCCGCGACTGCCCCATCTTCTACAGACGCGAGCGCGTCAAGAGAGACATTGCCCAAGCTGCGGTACGCACCGACGGGTGGAACTGTGCAGTCACACGTGGATTGATGCACCCCACTTCCCTGCGTGTGTGTGTGTGCAGGAGGCGATGCAGCGGCTCAAGATCGACTGGTAGACGAGCTGCAGACACGGGCGTGTAGAAAGGGGTTAATGGGGCCATATATGGGCGATGCATACATATTGTGTCTCTTTCGTACTGAGTGAGACCGTAGATAGATGAATGGATGTGTACAGGTCAGTGATGGTGATGTTAGTAGTGCGGACGGGCACGCAGTGTACATATGCGGATCGATTCAGCCATACATGCAATCGTCTGTCGGTCCACCCACCATCACACCGTAGCAGCGATACCCAGAACACAACAGTCACACTCAGGACAGAATGCAAACACATGAAGACACAGACACCCACACTAGAGGGCATGGGACACAAAGACCTAGTGAGGTAGCGGTCGATCAACACTACTATGCAGCAATGCAGGCACTCTGACGGGGCACAATTGATGGCACACAGACACGTGAGGACACATCTCTGAAAGTCACACGCAGCAGCACCAAAATGGAACATGAAGGGCAGGAAGCGTCAGTACGTTTAAAAAACCTCCAACACCTCTATCTCGTCAGTATCGAACACCCCACCACCTCCCAAAAGCGCCCGACCTACTCCGTCCATGTCTCCCTGGTAGCCAGCAGACACATCCTCTGCGCTGATGAATTGATGACATCGGTTGAGGTCATCCCCGGCCCGACCCACTCCCGGTGGCCACCATCCTAGCAGCAGATGCCCCCCAATGAAAATGTAGCACTGCCCATACGCGGCGCTTGACAGGCTGCTGTTCCTCCCCGCCACAAGCAGGCTAGCTCTGGGGGCGTCGTGGCCTATGAATTTCCGATTCGGATCCCGGTTGATTTCGATTATTGCTGGATGGTCGCCGAGTTGAAAGTAGCACACCCGACACTGCCACATGGCTTGCTGTGCTGGCGGTTCGGGCATGGTGAAGTCGACGAAGCATGCAAAGCGGCGTTCACGATTGCGGACCCTCACACGGATTGCAAAGAGGAGGGGGCCGTGGCCAACCACTCGGTCCAGGAGGTCTACATGTCTCCAGCCGTCTCGAGATGCACTGCATTACGAAAAGACTCTAGACCATTTCACGTCTTTATTTGTGCAGTAGCCTACCGATAGAGAAGCCGGAATGACTTGGGTGCCCCCAGGCCGTTACAAATGACTCTCATGTCCCGCACACCACGGATGACCTGCCAGCAACATGTTACAGAGGTCTTGCAGCGACACTTTGCGTGCCTCACCTGGCTGTTGCAGCTCGGCCGGAAGAAGAAGGACGTGAGCGAGCAGCCACCCAGGATCGCTGACAGGGCTATTGCTACCTGTATACGACGCAGAGAGGCTTTTTGCAATGGTCGACCGAGTCTGTTGCTGAACACCTACCAGCGTGCTGTTGTCGGTCTCCCTGCTGTCTCCTGAATCGCCGATCAGCTCGCGCACGCGTACACCTTGCTGGTCGAAGAGGCACGTTGTGCTGTTCATCACGAACAGGTCTCCGGCGGCAACTTTCACGGTCAGGTATTGGAGGCTCAGGCGGCCCTCGTCACACATGAGTCGGTTGCGGCCATGGATGATGAGAATTGTCTCGTCCGACGCGCCCTTGATAGTCAGGTTGCGCTCAGGGATGGACATTTGGTGATAACACGTCGCTGGTGCCCCATCGCTGCATCTGTGGGTCGACGGCTGGGCTCCCATGTTGATGTGCATGCTGGTGTTAATTTCGTGGTAGCCGCTCGTCAAGTAGATGTGGCGGGCTGACGCGTTGCCGACTAGTGGTGCCTCGATTGCGGCCTCCAGCGTCTTGCAGAGCCTCCCATCGTGTTCCGCCTCAAGTTCCCAAATGTGGTGCTTAGCGTCTTCATCACTCACCACCACCAGCCAGCCCTTCTTCAGCAAATCCTCGGCGTGGCTCCTCTCCCTCATTTGCATGTCCTTGAACGCATTGTCTGCTGGAGCGCCGAGGTTGGAGGCGACAGTGGTGTTGAGCTTGCTCCAGCCGGCTGAGTGGCAGGTGGCCAACAGGACAAACCCCAAGGCCACAGTCAGGGTGAGGCATATGAACGACCACTTCAGCAGCCGCTTGAGGTCCTCGGCGTGTCTGCTGATAGCCGCCTTGAGATCTGCCGCGTGTGTGTTGATGGTCACCAACGCCTGCTCTATGCCGCCCTTCACAATGGCGTTGAAGGTGCCAACATGAGCAAGGAACGTCTCCAGGAGGGGAATCAGCCGGCCGATGGTAACTTCGCCCGATCTCCTGCCGGAACTGCCGTACCTGCTCCACCAACCGGCCTACCGCATCGCCGCCGACTTCGTGGCCCGTGTTTGCCAGACGGCGAGAGCCACGGCTGACAGCACGAGCCGTCACAGCACCCCCCACAACAGTGGCAGCTGCCGTGAGAGCTGGCACTAACCACCACACCATCCTCGAGAAGCCGTGGGGCTCTCCTCTGCTTTTTTTTCCGCTAAGCACGGAAGCTCGCAGCAGCTGGTCTCTCGAATGCGTTCCTGCGTTCACGATGCGACCCCGGGTGGCTCTGTGAGGGTAGTTTCTGCAGATCTGGACACATGCGTCGCCGTTTCGTCATTCTGATGATTCGTCGATTGCCCTTCGCTCTCTGGTACGTGTAAGACCACAAACACAGTCATGACAAAGCAGCAGACGATGACACGCCTCCTTTCATGTGGCTACAGAACATAGATTTCATCGTGTAATCATCAATCACATCATGGGTCAGACTCTCAAGAAGGGCCGGGGCAAGAGGAAAGAACCACAGCAGCAGCAGCAAGAACACCAGCAGCAGGAGGAAGGTACAGCCGCCCACACACATGCAACACGATACACCCTGCGTGCGTTCCTTCATGTGTGTGTGTTTCAGGTCAGGATGAGGATTGGACAGTAGTACAGGCAGAGGGTGATGAGGCACAGCCAGACGCACAGCCAGAGGGGCCTCCTGCCGCAGCAGCGGTAACAGATCCAGATGCACCACAGCCGACGGAGGCCGATGCGCCACAGCAGCAGCAGCCTGAGGACGACGCGCCGGAGCAAAAAGGTGAGCAAAGCATCAATGGGATCGATGGGATCGATGGGATCAACAACCAACACGCTCACTCAACGGACATGCACATGTCCTCACTGTGTGTGCAGATGGTGAGGACCACCAGGAGGGAGTCGAGCCGGCCGTCGAGCAAAAAGATGAAGGCACCATAGAGCCGGCAGACGACAAAGAGGTCGCCAAGACGCAGCCGGCGGGTCGGCCCAAGAGAAAGCAGAAAGGGTTGGACAGAACGGGCCACAGGGCGCCGAATGCGCCATTGCCGGAGGTGGCCTTAGAAGATGTCAAGAAGAAGGGGCTTCTCGAGGTCAGGATGCTGTGTACGCCTATGTGCGTCAGTCAGCCCACACTCATGTGTGGCCTGTGGTCAATGCGTTTGCAGGCGACAACGACGAAGCACCTCAAGAAGAGGGAGTGGGAGAAGCGGCCGGCCCAGCAACCATCAGAGTAGGCAAGCGTTGGCAAGCAACGCCCACATACCACCAATACATGTGCTCTCTCTCTCTCTCTCTCTCTGTCTGTGTGTGTGTGTGTGTGTATGTGTGTGTGTGTGTATCAGGAAGTCAATGCTCTGCAGTGACCACCCCGGCAAGACCACGTTTGACCGGTACGTAGACACACATGAGAGGAAGAGACCCACCGATTCATGTCAAAGCGATTTGTGTGCACGGATATGTGTGTGTGTGTGTGTGTGTGTGCAGATACTACACCCACGAGACCCTCAACAAGCGGCAGGCCATCCAGGACGTCCTCAAGTGCCCATTCGGCTCGAACATCAACAGAGAGGAAAACATCGCACGCGCAAGTGAGCAGACAGACAGACAGACACACACGTCGGTAGCGAGGCGCGAAGGCTGCTGGCACATCTGCACAATATAATGTGTCTGTGTGTGTGTGTGTGCAGTAGTGGATTGCCGTGAGGACATCTCGCTTACGTCAGACTTCCTCATCGACAGGTGCACATGTCAGACAATGATGGCCGGCAAACGGTGAGGCACATACGCACACACACACAGCAATGGATGGATGGATTGCCGGATGAATGGATGTACGGACCATGGTGCGTGATGTGTTTGATGAATGGATGCAGCTGTGAGTTTCGGTGGTTTGAGGAACCAGACCGTTCGATCACTGCCCGCGAGTACATGAACAAACTCGTGGAATGGCTGCGCACGACACTCTCTCAGCTGCCCTCAGACAAGAGTACATCCACACACACACACGCCCCAAGAGAGAGAGAGAGAGAGATGGGGGAGCGGCCTGCGCACGTGTGTCTATATGTGTGTGTTGCAGCGTATCCGACTTCGTGCAAGGACGTGTTCGGCCAGATGGTGCGTCGGATCTTCTACGTGTATGCGCACGTGTACTACGAACACCTGCCGGACTTTGTGGAGATCGGAGAGGGCGGCCAACGGGTGGGTGGCCTACCCTTCTCACCTCACCGGAAAGCACTGCATGCTTGGGCGCTGCATGTGTGTGCGCGTGTGTGTGTGTGTGTGTCAGCTGTCAAGGATAGCGGATTTGAATGCGGGCTTCTGCCATATCCTGGGGCTATGCGACGTAAGCGACTGAGGTTGCCACACACAGCGCGACACATGGATGTGTCCATCCTCTCCCTGTCCGTCCATCGCTTCCAACAGATGTATGACCTGTTCGACGCTTCGCTCATCCCGCCGCTCCGGGTATGTCTGTGTGAATGCCGGCCACACACACTCACCAGACACACGCCAACACAGCCCACCTGAGGCCAGGCTGCCTGTGTGTCCATCTCTTCCCTCTTGGCTTGATTGATGCAGGAAATAGTGTCCATCTACAGGAGCTCTCCAGGCTGGATCCGCGCAGAGCCAGCTGTAGCTACCGACGGCAATGGCAGCAGCAGCGAGCCGGCTGATGGCGCAGCGGCTGCGGCAGACAGAGCAGCCCCCGCCAACAATGACAATGAGCAACGGGTGAGTGGGCACCACCCCCACGGGCTGCCCTCTGTCTACGTGCATGCCTTCTCCTTTCGTGTGTGTGTGTGTGGGCAGCATTCGTCGTTGATAGCGGTTCAGGCGAGGTCGGCGGTGGATGTCGTGGCGATGATGGACGACGCGTCCACAGAGCAGCTGATAGAGGCCTTCACGGAGGAGGAGGATGGAAGGAAGAAGACTGACACGGTCGTGATGGACTGACATCACCGATGGACGGACGAACGTGTGCATTTGTGTATACGTGCTCATGTGTGTGATAGCGAGACAAGACAACCCCTGTGTGTCTGTGTGTCTATGTATGTGTGTATATGGCGGCGGGGAGAGAGGGCGGGGGGGCACTGGGGACCTTCTCGATGTATACGTACACTATTCGGGCCCCACACACGTACACAAGAATATGCACCGTTCCCGTGTCTCCGTCGATCCATCGCCCCGCAAGTTGTCTCACGTCTATCGCAGCCGCACATGCAGGCATACACAAGTTCGCCACTTTGTAGGTCTCGCACCAAAAATGTGGGTCCAGGAAGTAGGATAATGTACAATACACCACATTCGACGAGTCATCTGGGTACTCGACTGAATGAGTACGTCGAGTGCATCGTGGACCAAGAATATTACAATCAGTCAGTCAGCGGCACACACATCTCACGCACTGCACCCAGCCGCACTCACCCAAGCCCTGACCGACACCATCCATCCATCCATCCACCACCAACCGACCTCCCGCCCCCGACAAGCACCACCACCACCACCACCCGACTGTTTCGGTCAACAAGAACACCGCCGACGCAAACAAGCAGACAGACGGGGAGAGAACAGCGACACAGCACACCCAGGCACACAACGCCAAAAAAGAAAGGCCGCACATCGACAGAACGTAATGAACACAAACGATAGGGAGTCCGCACCATACGGAGGGACGAAAAAAAAAAGGACAAAGCAGTGTCCGCACCATACGGAGGGACGGAGGGACGAAAAAAAAAAGGACAAAGCAGTGTCCGCACCATACGGAGGGACGAAAAAAATGGGACAAAGCAGTGTCCGCACCACAGGGAAGGACAAAAAGAATAGGAAAAAGCAGTGTCACCACCATACGGAGGGACAAAAAGAAAAGGAGAAAGGAGAAGAAAAGGCAACGGGTAGGGCTGCTGACTCAAAAGCAATACAATACAATACAATACAATAATTAACTAACTAACGTACATCCATACCACGGACAAAAACAAAAAAGAAACAGCCATCCTCCCCCGTCTGTCTACATATGGGGCGCGGGGGCCTCTTCTCGTGGTGGTGGTGGGTGGTGGGTGCGGTGCTTCTCGTCGCGGGCTGGCCGATGGCCGAACGATTTGATCATCCAGCCCATCGTCGCTGTCCTCATCGTCAGCATCGCCATCGCTGATAACATACGACACGTCCAGCACGTCTCGCTTGGTGTCAAATGCGTGATAGAAAGGCCTGAGACGCATCAGCAGGTCCTCCTCCGTCGGTGTCATGTGCTGCGGCGGGAAGGTGTCCGTGTCGGGTGCCCGCGGGAAGGGGTGAAAGCGAGATGGGAACGGCAGCGGAGGACGCAGACGGCTGCGACCTGTGGCAGACAGAAAAGACGCACACACATATACACACATAAATGCAGAAAAGACCAGTTGGGTGGGTGTGCCTCTTCTTCTCTTCTGACCAGGTGCCGTGAGTGCTCAGGTGACAGGTGGGTGGTCGTCCCTCGGGAATGGGAGGGGCGTCGACTCACGGTCGGCGCGGCCCACCACCACTGTCTCGAATCTCGATGTGACCAAAGACCGCTGCCGACGCGGCTTTGGCTTGCGGCTACGCAACATACACCTGAATGCATCAGTCCATCCATCCATTTATGTGTCAGACCAGATCAGTGAAAGCATAGTAGGTGTCTCCGTTCTTGTCTCACCTGTCTCTCAGTTTGGTGTCGACTTGAGCCACGGTGGCCGGGCGAGTAACGGCATCATGCCTCTTCTTGCCCCCTGTTCGTCGAGAAAATGAGTTCACATCCTGGAAACGACACACACGGACGACCTGTGCGCGTGTGTGAAAGAATCCGACAGCCAAAGATGCCTTTACTCACCCTGTCGACGTCTGACGGCGCTATCCTTGGCGTGAGAGGCCGTCCACGCACACTGAGCGGCACGTCCGCATCATCGCCAGCCTTGCGCTCTTCCGATTCCGGAACTCTCCCTTTCTTCGTCTCAAAGGTCGTGTCCTCACCAACCCGCTGCCCCGTGTGCGTGTCGGTCGGTGCGCTGGCCTCCTTCTCGTCCTCCTCTTGGGTGTCTTCCTGCCAGCCCCTCGTCCGCACGCTCTCAAGCAAAGTTGGCGTCGGACACACCTGCGGCAAGGGCGTGGGGGGCATGTGTCGCATGACGGGGGACGGCATGAAAGCCCTCATACACGAAGCCCAGCGACAGCTGCGTGATCGGGGCACGGCCTTCGTTCACGAGCACCTGCCGCGCCTCTGTCTCGCTGCCGGCCACTGCGAGCATGTCCAGGTATGGCTTGTGACGTCTCAGGGCGGCCGCAAGCTGCAGGGCGACATCTCCTTTGGCCGTTAGTGTCCTGATCTTCCGGAATCGCACGTCAAAGGGAGCCACAGGGGCTGCCCAGCCTCCTCGGTCTGCAGTGAGTCGAGCGCCAGCTCCTTGGGCATCCTCCATGCGAGAATGTCCGCCAGCTGCAGCTTGTCAAGGTTCGGCCGGACCTTGCGCAGCAGCACCCTGGCCAACCCCCAGCCCGATGCGACCCTTCACAGACCTCTCACCGGCTCCAGTCCAATGGGACTGAGTGCCTCGAGCTTGGAAGGTTTAGGTGGATCGGTGTCGGCTGAGGGGCTCCAGCCGTCCGCACACTCGATGGCGATGCTGCAGCCCCCAGGCGGCAACCACCATGAGAAGCGCAGCTCACCGACCAGGCTGTCCGCGATCGGGCGGTTCTGTTCACATATCCATCCACCCATCCCTCCATCCATGTGTTGTGTGGCGGTGTGTGCATTTATGTCTCACCTGGGGGCGGGCCATCTGGTCCTGCATGGCCGTCCACACATAGCGGTATCTGACGGGCCTCATTCCCTGGACCTCGAAGCACAGAAGGTTGTTGTCCAAGACGTCAAGTCGCAGATTGCAAGTGTCCAGCAGCGCACTGAGGAGGGGCAGGCCGCAGGCTGGCAGCTCGCCTAAGTCGCACCGTGTGTGTGACAGCAGGTGGGTAAGGGGGACGTCATGGACGCCATCGCGTCAATCAGCGAGGCAGTCATTGAGGAGAAGCGTATGGCAGTCGCTTCAATGCACGATCACACACAGGAGATGCAGGAACTTCGAGCAACCGCGGTCCACCAAACGCCTCTGAAATTGCAACACAATCGAGAACACAATCCACGTTCCGAGGGCCTCTGCCCCCCGCTGTCTGTGGACTTCCATTCTGTGGCACCTGCAGGTCTCGGAGGCCGTGTGTGAGATCAGCTGATTCGATGCCGTAGAGCCTGGTGTGGCCTATCGTCCGCAGGTTCGCGAGAGGCCCCTGGCTTCCCTGCTGCCCCACTGGGATGGACCCAAACAGCTCCACCAGCTCTGGGGGCGTCTGTTGGCCCACCTGCAGGTGAGCCAGGGACGTCGATGTGGCCACCGGGGACCACGGTGTCTGGTGCAGACACATCCATCCCCGCCCATCGGTCTTGAGATGTCCGCGGGGGACGCCGCTGACCTCTGTGAGCGCCGGAAGGCTGATGGATTGGGAAGGGGCGGCAGCAGGAGGGTCGGAGTTGGTGCTGGCAGCAGAAGGGTCAGTGACCTGAGTGAGCCCTCGGCCCAGGCCCTCCTTGTCCCGCGCCAATGGCCGTCCCGATACATGCCCCTCGACGAGTGCGATAACGATCCCAAGGCACCATCCTGGTGCAAACAAGGAGGGACCCCTTGTGCCGTGAGGGGTCTGTGGATAGCGGTGGATGAGGCACTTGAGGTTGACATCTGTTGGCCGAGCTCGTATGCCGTCTGCACCGTCATGGCCGTCCAGAATGACCGCTGCCGTGTGTGGCGGCAGTCGATGACGAGTGTGGAGCTCTAGAGGCGACATCTGACACCTTCAATTGAGCCATCTCTTCGTCGATGCGTTCTGACGGGGACAGACAGCTGATGAACGTGGGCCGGCATTGCGATAATGCGATAATGCGATGAGAGAGGGCCGTCAAGGCCCTGAACACACAGACACACACATCTATACGCATGATCTCTTTCTTGTGTGTGTCTCGCTCGCCACCTCTCTCAAGAAAAAGGGAGGCCCCGCCCCCCCTCCCCCTCCCCCTTCCACCCCACTCCCCCAGAAAGACCGCATGTGCTGCCCCACATGCAGAGGCACCGACACCTCGCCCGCGCACCCAAACAACCAGAAGTACGTCGGTGTATCGGGAATCATGATGACGTCGCCTTGCCAGTCGAGCAGCGTCACCCCATCGCTATGCAGACGAACCACCCCCTCCCTGCTCTCCGCCACTCGCACCCTCTTCATCGGCCGCCCCTCAGCCTCGTCTACATCCATCATCACCTCGTCGGTGTCGTCCACACGGCCGCTGTCCTGGGAGATAGGGGCGACAATGGACATGGCCAGGGCAGCCGTCGCAGGTGGCACGGGCGGTGTAGTGGCCGATGAGTGTGCACTTGCGGGTGCTGCTGCTATGGGGCTGGGGAGCGGAGGGCTGAGGTTGGTAACGGCAGCAGCCGGCGCAGCAGGGGTGCTAGACCTTGCACCCGCAGCGGCCATCGCTGCAACAGGCAGTAGCGGAGTAGGGGCGGCGTGTGGTAGAGCACCAGCAGCAGCAGCAGCAGCAGCAACAGGGGGCGGAGAGGGAGCATCGCGCGTCCTGGGGCCGTCAGGCTGCAGCAGCAGAGGCGCAGGAGCATCCTCAGGATCCGCAGCCCGACAGCCTCGACGCACACGGAGGCGTACACGCCTCCGGCCATTGCCCTCGGCAGGTGGAGCAGCCTCATCAGCTGAGGCGGCTGCGGCGGTGGAACCTTCTGGAGGCTGACGGGGGGCGTCCTCGTCTTCGATGAGCGGCCCGTCTTCTGTATCCCAGATTCTCACATTCCTCTGTACATATACACGCAGAACATACACGTATATGCTCACATCGCCATCCATGTGTCTGTGCATACGCGCCATCACTCACCTGACGCTCGGGCGTGCGGTACTGGTCCTCCTGGCCCGCCCCGCCCGTGGTGGCCGTGGGCTGCTCCCCTTGGCCTCCTCCTGCTGCCGCTGCTGAGCTAGATGGAGCGGCTGCCGCTGCAGCTGCAGCAGCTGGACCGCTGCCTCCCCCTTGCTCGCCCTCCCCTCGACCCCTCTTCCTCTCCTCCCCCGAGGACGTGTAACGATGAACCCCAACTGACATGCCCGCAGCCCTGAGTTGGGCGACAAAGTCATCAATGGGCACCAGGTCTGGTCTGCTGCTGGATGCCGCCGGCTGCTGCTGGGTCTGGGTCGTGGCGACCGGGGCGGAAGGGGCTTGAGCACTTGGAGCAGGGGCTCTGGCGGCTGCCGCGATGCGCGACGCGAAATTGGCTGTGGAAACGGGCGCATGCCGGCCCGGGCTGCTCGGCTGGACGGCACCGGGTGCTGCTGCTGCCGTTGGATGACGACTGGCAGCGGGGCGGGGTGCTTCCACGCTGGGCGGAGTATTCGGCATGGGGCAGGATAACGAAATCAAGGTTCTTCACAATAGCAACGACTACAGTGCAATTGCAATAGAAGGCGGCGGTGCGGTGCCCGAAACGAAGGACGACTAAGACGCCCCACGGAAAGACGCCAAGCTCGCATCTAGGACATTGCGTGAAACTGCTCGTCGTTTCCACGTTGACGAGGCCAAATCCCATCTCTCCAGGGGCAAATGCTGTGTCCTTGCTTACCCTTTGTCGGCATGCAGTCGTGAGCAACGGTATTTTCGGATTGCAGGGGCCTATTGAGGCTGGGCAGGCTGGGCTGAGGTATCGCTGGGCTGGGTTGAGGTCGTGGCGACCGGGGCGGCAGGGGTCGGTTGCAGATGAGATATCGTGATACGCGTGGAGCGTCCCTCGGTGCGACCTCAACCACATGATTCAGACCTGCCAATTCATTCCCTCACGTGGCTCTTCAAACCTGATGGATGGGATCAGCCCGGCAGCCCTGGCTATCGACGACCAGGTATGCACCACTCCATAGCGCGTGTGTCTGTGTCCAGAAAGTGCACGTGTAATGCGCGGGTGTGTCTGACCGTCTATCTCTCCGTCTGTCAGGTGCGCAAGATCCTGGCGGAGATAGGCAAGGATCCCACAGCCACCATCAACTACGAGGAGTTTGAGAAAATCATGAGCTGACGCATGGTACGCGACGCGACCAGCCAAACACAGCAGAAGGGTTGGGTGTCATGGCAGTGCACTGTGTGTGTGTCGCATTGCGTGGTGGTGTGTGTAGGGTGAGAAGGACAGCCGGGAGGAGATCATGAAGGTGTTCAAACTATTCGATGACGACGACACGGGTACAGTACACACGAGGCATTCGCACACCGAACACACAAGAACACACACAAGCATACCACGCTGGCTGTATGTGGGTCATCATGACCATGCAGGCAAGATAAGTTTCCGCAACTTGAAGCGCGTTGCTGCTGAGTTGGGCGAGACGTTGATGGACGAGGAGTTGCAGGAGATGATCGACGAGGCCGACAGGGACGGAGATGGACTCATCAACCCAGACGAATTCCAACGGTAGGTACATGCAGGCAACCATCACACTCACACACAGACATGGACATAAGGTCAGGTCACCACACATCCCTCTGTGCGTGTGTGTGTGTCTGTGTGATCGATCAACCAGGGTGATGCGGCGCCGCGGCGATGGCCCGCTGAACGACTTCGATAGCGATGAGGACTAGGGGAGGGAGGGAGGGAGGGAGGGACGGAGGGAGGGACGGAGGGACGGAGAAGGGCAGTGCTGACACACATGGGCACTGCACACATAGATGAGCTGACATGGATCAATCGATGTCGGCTTGGTGACCGCAGGAGCCAATCGACTTACACGCCTGCATTCATTTTTGTACAGCAGTGGCTTTGCTTTCGATTCTATTTTCTTGGGGTTGCTGACTTGGCTGTGTGTGACACCAGCAGACCAGTGGCTGGCTAGTGTCTGTGATGTGATGTGTGGACAGGTGGGTGATGCCTGCCTGGCCGAGAGCTGTGCGTGTGAATATGTGCGTGGAGCCTTCCTTCCTTTCTCATGTCTGTCTGCATGTGATGTGCGTGTGTTGACACTTGCTGTGATGACTGACTGACTGCCTGTCTACACGTACGTACGGTACACAGTGATGATTTAATGGAATGGACGGTATCAGTCAATCACGTGTATGTGCATTCAGGTGTCCATCCATCCATCAGCCTCAAGAGCCTATCTACACACACGACACGACACGGCCCCCCCATGAACACCCCGTTGCACCCCCACTCACCCCTGCACACACTGGTTGTCTCTCTCTCTCTCTCCCTCTCTCTCTCTCTCTCTCTCTGTGTGTGTGTGTGTGTGTGTGTGCGTGTGTGTGTGTGTCACTCATGCGAAGGCGAGGTTGGAAGGGCCAAGCCTGAGCAAAGTGTGCATGGTGTGTGTGTCTATGTGCGCTGCTTGGGTGTCGTGAAAGGCTTCTTTTCCCTGGCAAGACAACATGGTGTGTACGGTGGGAGAGAGGATATACTGACGAATACAGATACGCAGCGGGAACCGTTCACCATCGTGTATGACTGGTGCACGACCGTATGTAGAATTAAAATAACTATGTACACATCCCTCGACTCTCCAGAATGCTCGTCCATACATGCGCCCTCCTCATCATTGCCCACGCGAATCCTGAGTATCATTGCCCACGCCTATGTCGCTTAACGGACGGGAGACTTCAGGATATAAAACGTAGGCAGCGATATCAAGACTGAAAGCAGAAGGACACACAGGAAGAGGGAATGAGGATGATGTTTATCCTTTCCCACGTGCCCAGTGCCACACCGTGATGTGTCACGACACCTAAACCCACACAGGCACACACACACAAAGAGAGAGAGAGACACACAGAGACACACACACATAAGAAACAGGATGAAAGCGGGCAAGAATGGATGTGTATTTCATTCGTGCCGTGTCTCTCACCTCTCTCATTGCAAAAGAGAGGTGCCCCCGGCGATGCTGCCTGACGCGCAGCAGCTGAGCGCGGGGCCTCCACACTTGGTGGAGTGTTCGGCATGCAGGACGTGGATGACGGGCGGCGTGTGGGCGGCCGAGACAAACTAATTCAGCCTCTTTACCACGGAAAGGCAGTGCAATTCAAAGAAACGGAATGAGGCGGCTCCTTTAAGATGGGACAGAAACCATTTTGAAAGTGAGAACATTCTTTTCAGCTGTGTACGTGTACCGACGTACCCTCACAGAAATTCCTCCGAGGTTCATCCACACGGTCGCTGTCCTGGGAGAGAGCGGCGACAGGGGACACGGCCGCCGCAGCACCACCATCATTCTCATTTCGTCCACCGCCAGCTGCAGGAACACTGGGCGAAAGGCTGCTTGCAGAGCCGTCCCATTGCTCCCGAGGTGGTGTTGCGCGGCTGCAGCACCACTGCGAGCACCACCAGCAGGACCAGCACCCTCAACACCCCTTGTTCCTCGACGCACACGCAGCCGCCTGCGGCCGTTGACCTCGGTAGATGGCTGGGCGGCAGCCGCTGCTGCTGCGGATGAGCGGGACGTCGCGTCCTCGTCCTCAATTTCCGGACCTTCCTCCGCATCCCAGCTTCTCACACTCCTCTGTACACATCACATACATATGCACACGCAGAAGACACACGTCTTTGCTCACATCACCATCCATATGCCTGTGTGCATCCCGACCACTACTCACCTGGCGCTCGGGCGTGTGGTACTGATCCGCCTGGCCTGGCTCCCCCGTCGTCCTCTCCGCTTGGCCTCCTTCCGCTGCGGCGGCTGCTGAGGTGGAGGCAGCGGCTGCTGGTGCGGCTGGGGTTGGGGCTGGAGAGGCTGCAGCTGATGCTGCGGGACCGCTGCCTGCCCCCTGCTCGTCCTCCCTCCCCCTCTTTCGCTCCTCGCCCGTGGAGGTGTACCGATGAACCCCCACAGACATTCCCGCGGCCCTCAACTGAGCGATGAAATCATCGATGGGGACCAGGTCCGGACTGTTGCTGAATGCTGCCGGCTGCTGCTGGGTCTGGGTCATGCCAGTGGGGTTCGTGGTGACCGGGGCGGCAGGGGCGGCAGGGGCGGCAGCGGCAATACGCGACGAAAAGGCCGCTGCTAAAACGGGTGGGCGGATGCTGCTGCAGCGGCTGCGAGGCGTCGTCCTCTGGCCCGGGGGGCTTCAACACTTGGCGGCGTGGTGGGCATGCAGAGCCTCGTGCAGAACTCGATAGCAAGACAACTAATTTCAGACTTTCAACGTCACTCTGCAGTGGAAGATGAATAGATGCGGACACGACGGCTCCCTCGATGGGTGCGGAACTCTCGTATGGAACGAACGAATGCTCCGTGAGGCTTCACCGAAAAATATAAAATAAAGACGTCTCGCGTCTCGCGAATTCTCGACAGGTGGGGCGGATGCGCAACCGAGCAGACACAGATGAAAATTCGAAATATCGGGATTATTGTTTCGTCTCACATACTCGGCGAGGTTGGGCATCCTCGATGGTCGTGCGGCAGATTCTGGTTTTTCGTGTTTGGTGTTTGGTGGACCAGGTGAGCCTAGCTGTAAAGGTTGATTCTGTGCGTTCATCTAGCTGTCACACGCATAATCCACACAATCTGTCTAGTGTCGCTCGTAGAAGAGGAAGTAGGCCGACGACTGGGCGGCCGCCACCTCGGCAGATGGCACATCTCGCACAAGCAGATCAGACGCATACACAAACGCACCATCATCATAGGCGCCTGCACACACACACACACACCCAACACACACAGAGTATGGACGTGTGCACACGCAGAGGCACCGGCCGGACGTCAGTTTCGCTCGCCACTCACCAGCTCCTGCTGCTGCTGCTGGCGGTGTCGGCATGTGTTTGCCGATGATTTCGAGCAGGCTGTGGCAGCCCCGCTGCCTCTTGCGCCGATACGCACTGTAGTGGCCAGCCGTCGCACTCCCTGCACCCACACACAGACGCAGCACCCATATGAGAATGAGTGGCCGCGGTTGCCTCCTGTCCTGTGTGTGAATCTATCTTCGTATGCTGTATGTACCTGAATGGCACATGACGGCTGCCATTGTGTAGCGGCAATGTGGAGGCTGACGCGGCACACAGGGGGAAGGGCAAGGGGACACACGCTCCTGAATGCGCAAACCCACCAACAGACAACACAACAGTGTTTTGACAACGAGGTCAAAGACAGCGAACGAACACCACTCCAGCACCGATCCTGTTCGCCTCACCGGTGGCGCGCTTGCAGGCTCCTGTGGGTCGATCTCTACCGCTCCCGCGTTGCTCGAATGCCACGAACGACTCACCGGCATCGCACACCGAGCAGCAGACTGGCCAACACTCTCGCCGCCGCTACTCGCCCCCTGTCCGCTCCCTGACAGCGGCAAGTCCATGACGAGCGGAAAAGCCACCGGCCGATCGTTCTTGACCGCCAAACTGCCCGCGCCAAAGCCGCCCTGCACATTGACCCGCTGAATCAACACGCCCAGCATCTCCGGAGGCTTCTCCAAGGCAGTCTCCTCCACTTGGCTTGTCTTGATCTCACGACTGGCGATCTGCGAGAGAGACGCGATGAGGGAAGAGTCGCCCGTGGTCTGCAGGTGGGAGGCGATGATTGCGCGAAGGGCGTGCTGGATGGCCTCGATGTCGGGCAGGGCGGTGGCCGGATAACACTGGTTCTGTTGTGTTGCTGCGAAAGGGGCCATGAAGGCGAGCAGGGCTTTCAGAGTGCGTCGCAGGCATAGCAGATGCCACACACACGGAAGCAGCGCCAGAGACGTCGAGAAAGGTGGGTGGGGAATGTCTTGTTCGCTCGTTGCACCGGCAGACGATGGCTCCTGGAACAAGCCCATCCGTTCCCTCAGCTCCCTCCCAATGTCGTCACACGTGCATCGCGCACACGCCACATCCTCCAGCACCCGCGCACGCCACTCGCCGGCCATCAGACCCACCAAGGACACCGGAAACGACGAAGACCCCCAACCACCACCACCACCACCACCAGCACCAGGTGGAGCATAGTAAGGCAGCGGCAACAGCACGTCACCCATTTCTTCGTATTTGCAGCGTGCCAGACAGCCGCACCGTTGGCACCACCTTGTCTTGCGCAGAAGGCCTGTCTTGAGGGGAATCGGGGGCGGAGGGAGGGGGGACATCTGCAGCAGGTGGTCGTCGGGTGGCTGGGAGTCGCTGGGGGGGCCGGTGGAGGGGGTGGGCTCTTCACGCGGGGAAGATGAGTCGCTCGACGTGGCGGCCTGCAAAAGCTGCATGAATGCACAACACACACACAGGACCAAGTCAACAATCACGTTGTGGATGCCTCCTCTCCACTCCGCCCCACCCCAGACCGTTCGTGTGGAATGCGCCCGACACTCCTGCAGGTAGGCCTCCCGAAAGTAGCCATCGATCTCGTCAAGTATGAGCGTGTGCGCCTCATGCACGTCCTGCTGAGTGAACGACCAAAACCCTCTCTCCAGCAGGAACCCCCGCACAACCTGCAACGCGTCACGCGGCGGCCCCCTATCACCGTCCACACCCCCATCGCCGTTGACATAGCCGACCACCCGGAGCAGAGCTGTCACCAGAGGCCGTTGGGTGTTCTCGGGTTTGGTCAGGTAGCAGAGCCGCCTTGTGAGTGAGTTGTTGAGCGACGCGTAGGACTGGATGAGTGAGTTGAGGTAGCAGCAGAGGGAAGAGTTGGGGAGGCCGCGGACGGAAGCAGATGTCGGGGGTGGCTTGTGGCCGGCTGCTGCTGCCGCTGATGATGAAGACGAAGATGAAGACTCATCCACTTGCTGCGAATTCAACACAGATGGATACACGCAAGCAGTCAGATTGAAACGGTGATGGTGTGATTTGATTGCGGAGGCACAAGCACACCTGTTGCGTTCGTCGGTGCCTTTTGTGATGGCGTAAGATGGAGGCATGGAGGCCCGCTCGCGCGATGATATCCATCACTTCATCGATCTACCTATCCATCAACTTTCGGATGCCAGATCCTGGCTCCTTGATCCAGCAAGCAGCAGAGCCTCACAAGTCTGTGATCCCACATCATCGCTTGGCCGTCAGGCCGCCTAGGGTGCTCCCTGAAACCGCTACTGTCGGATCTGGGAGTGCTCGTCAGCTCATCGGGAAGTCAACTGCAACGGCCGTTCGGATTGTCCGTCATGTCGACTGGCGCAAGGGCGCGCTCCTTATCATTGGAGAGTGGAGATTTTGTCCGTGCGTTCTTGGATGAGGATGAAGCCGACAGCGACGGGAGAGGAAAAGGATCTGAGGGCGTCGTTTTCAGCCAAATGGAGCAGCCAACCTCGACCGACAAGATGTCCGCGGTGGAGAAGCTGGATGAGGACTTTGCCCACTGCCAGTCGATGCTCAACCTCAGCCTCTCTCAGCTCCAGATGTGGCACCAGTGGAACTGGCTACTGGCAGCACAGCACCAAAAACTCTTCTACCACCAACTGCAGACGCCGCACCACTACTACGGTGGGTCAGCGTCATGGTCGGTGCGGCCGCGTGAGGGCCCGGTGCCGCTGACGGGCATCATCACACTCGAGGGCTCCGCAGACTGGGATAGTGACCTGTTCCTGGCGCAGCAGCCGGACATTGACCCCTACACGCCCCGACCGCCACACACAGCCACAGCCACGGCAGCCGGTGATGACACCCAGCAGGACGAGCAGCTTGAGGGCCAGCAACAAGAGCAGCAGCAGCAGCAGCAGCAGGAGCAGGCCCACCAGGGTGACCCGATGCGTCGGTACGCCGGTGAGCGAGAGGTGGCGGCCAACGTGTTCGAGCGGTACCACCTGGATGTGGTGCTCAAGGTGGCGCTGCTGCTGGCGCTGTTTGAGAGCAAGAGGGTGGTGTGGATGGTCTTCCTCGCCCTCTCGACCGTCTATGTGGCCGGCCTCCTCGACCCCATCATCGACTACCTCAGGGCACCAAACGGATCGAGGAACCTAGAACAGGTGCGTTGCGTTGCGTTGGATGTGCCACACACCACCAACACCACCCACGTGTCGGTCTCTGTGTGTTGTGTATGTGTGTGTCAGTTTCTGCGTCAGTTTCGCGAGGAGCAGCGGAATCGCCAGACGCGTGCAGAGGCCCAGACCATCCTCGACCAATCCCCACAGACCACAGATGCCGCCGCCGCCACTGCTGCGGCTGATGAAGGTGCTGCTCCCGCTGAGCAGCAGCAGGGTGAGCCGTCGAGTGAGCCGAGCGGAGCGTCTGAGGGCAGTGGTGCGAGTCCATCGAGCAGCGGCGGTGGTGTTCTTAGTGGCGAGAGTACTGGCGAAGCAAGCAGCGCTGCTGCGGCGGCGGCGGCGACGGTAAGACGACAATAGACAGGGGGGACTGGTGCTGTGCTGTACGGATTGACCTCTGCGTTTGTATTGGTTGTGCTGTGTGTCTAGGTTCAGGCGTCCCCCGCTGCAGGTGCCAGCCCGACCGATGAAGGGGCTGGCCGGGCACAGGAGGCTGCCCCTGCAGATGGCGACGCCGCAGCTGTTGATGGTGCTGCTGCCGATGTGCCGCCGTATGTAGCGCGTTGGCTGTATCAGTCGGTGGTGGCCTTCTTCATGTCGGCCTTCCCCTCGTGGACGCCCAACAGCAGATTCCTGCAGTGAGGGAGGGAGGGAGGGGGGACTCGTGTGCAGATCGAGGGATAGAATGGATGAATGGTGGCGTCATGATGTGTTGGTTGTGAAATGGGTGAAAGGCTGGGGGCAATGTGTGTGCGATATGCCGTCTTTTGTGCACTCACCACGCTTACCTTGGCGACCGCTGACGGCTGTCTGCCAGCCAGAGTCCTGGTTTGGCAAACAGACGTTCATGCTGGCAGGGGAAAGCTGTGGGTGTATGAGGACGGGTGCAGCAACACAGGTAGACAAGACAATCAGACAGACAGACAGGCAGCGAGCAAGGTTTTGGCTTGTCGTGTTTCCACGCCATGCCTTCCTTTCGTTTCTGTGTGCGTCTGCGGGCCCGACTGCATCTCGGCCTCACGCCACATTCGGTGTGGAGGGTTCGAAATGGGTTCGGGTTTGGGAACGTGGCAGAAACGAGGGGATGTGTGCTGGCATAGCTCGTTGATTGACACAAGATAGTCCATTCGTCGTGTGTGTGTTGAACCCGACGCACCACCACACCCACGAGCTTCTTTCTCCAATTCGAATTAATTACTTGCTGCACTGCACACCGACCGACAGGCACCAAAAAACCGCCGTTTCGTCTGTCTCTCAACAGACAGATAAAGACCATATGCACTGACTGCACACACCAATCAGTCAAGACAGTGCCGCACGCACAAATCCACAGTGACTCATCCACACGTCACATCAATCACATCACAGCTCATCCCGCGTCCTTTCAGATGGACCCCCTTCATCGCTGCCCCCCCGTCTGTGTGTGCCTCCCCCGCCCTCCTGCGCCTTTTGTGTGACGATGTACGCTATGCGATCGTCCGGGTAGATGGTGCGCAAGGGGTGCCCGCTCGGCGGATAGTAGCGGTGGGATGTCCCGTCAGGCTCGCGTGCGCGGCCCTGAACACACACAGAGGCAGGCACAGATGAGGGTGGCAGGGCAGGGCAGGGAGGCACTGTGTGTGTGTGTGCATGGAATGGATCGTGCCTGGAAGATGGTGAGGATGCGATCGTTCTGGATGGGCCCGCCATAGTCGTATTTCAGGTTCTCCTGACGGACGTGTGCAGGGAGGGAGGGAAACAACAACACAATGCATTGCAGCAACACACTTGGTTGGGTCGATCGATGCCATCGGTGGGTGCGTACCTCCGACACGTATGCGAGATAGAGCTCCTCAGGTATCTGTGAGTTGGGCGCGGCGTTCTCGACCAGCAGCAGATAGTGGGGGCGGTCGGACCACTCGGACGGGTAGATCTCATACACCTACACACAAGCGGTGGGCATCAGAAAAGCGCCATATCATCCAGACATGTGTGGATGCCCTGCCCTGCTCACCCGTTTGATCCAGTGTGAGGGCGCGTTTGCGGTGAAGTCCCATCCGATCACCACACCACGGTACTTCCACTGAGCATGCCTGTCAGGCACACACACACACATCTTGAGGTATACAGACGTCTCCGCGCGCACCGCCCCTGACCTGACGACATCGCCAATGTAGAATTTGGGGCTGGCGGGAGTGCCGTTGCGTCGTCTCTTGCCCCAGCTGCCGCCGAAGTGGTCCCACGTCGGGTGGTCGTCCTTGCCCTCGCCACGCAAATGAGGTGGCAACCTAATAGATGGCACATATAACACACCGTCATGGATGCACGTCTGAGTGTGTGTGGCGTGTGCATACCCCAGGTACTCTGGGACAGCTTCGAGCAGTGCGAGAATGGGCACTTCGCCGGCCACGGGCCGATGCCGCTCGGGGTCCCACTCCCTCTCACCGCCACCACCACCACCACCGCCACCACCAGCGGCTTGCTGCTGTGCCACATCACCCTCGCCCTCACCCTCACTGCCGCCCTCTGGCCCCCCTCCTGCTGCTGTATCGTCACGCTCCTCTTGCCGTTGTTGTGCTGTTGCTGCTGACTGGTGTGTGGGCTGTGTCTCCGTGTGTTGGTTGGCGTATGGGGGAAGGTCCCTGAAGCTCGCCGGAATGGGCCGTCGGGATTGCGAATGGGGGTCCAGAAAGCACTTGACCACCTGCACACATGGATGGTGGATGCACACACACATTTCCGCAGGTCGTGTGGTTCGTGTGGCTGCCCGCCTCACTCACCTCATGGTCTTTGGGTCTCGGTGGGACGAGGTCGGGATGGGCGCACACATACGGGGTGTAGACGACCATCTCGTACTCGCACAGAGACACCTCCACGATCTTCTCGAGGCGCGTCAAAGGGTTGGTCACAAAGTCCTCCGGGCACTCGAAAATAACCCGCGACCTCCGCGACACACTGATGTCCTCACACAAAGTGCCCTGCACCGACAGAGCCGCCAGACACATAAGAAGACCTCTTTGCATGAGTCTATGTCTGTGTCTGTGACTGTGTATGTGACCTCACTGACCTCAGTGAGGTTGAGCCTGAGGCTCTTGTGCACTCTTGGTTTCTGCAGCGACCTCCCCGCCACCGCACCAGACCCCCCCTGCTGCTGCGGGCTGCTCTCATAAAACCCGATCGGCAGCTCCGCATCCACACTGCCCGCGTCGTCGCCACCACTCGGCTCATCGTGCGCATAATGATGGAAATACGGCGGCTTCTTGCCGACGATGTTCTCTTCCATGTTTTGCTGGCGGCTGATGGCCGCTGCCTCGATGTGCGGCGGGAGGGCGCCGAGGGAGTAGATGGGCTCCTCCGTTTGGCCCCGGTTGTTGACGTGGAACTGTCGGAGGTGTGAGGGGTAGCAGAACTCGTAGGTCCACCACCCCTGGGTCTGGTTGATGCACAGACCCTCCAGGGGACGCAGCAGATACTCCAAACGAAGCTGACACACGCACCCCACCACCCCCCGCCACACACACACATACAGAGAGAAGGCAGCCCATCCATCCATCCATCCATCCATATGTGTGCGCGTGTAAGTGTGTGCGTCGGTGGGAGGGTGTGGTGTTCATCTCACCTTCTCCTCTTGTTGTGCGCTGGGTGGCCGCCAGTCGCAGAATGAGGGCGCGGGGTAGTGGATGAGGTAGTTGAGCACATGTGGCTCGCTCAGGTTGCTGGGCGACGTGGGACCAGCCTTGTGGGAGCACACGAACACCAAACTCGTCCGGCGATTGTCCGTCCCGTTCACGTAATGCTGTATCAACCAACGAATACATGGATGGAAGACATGACACACACGCTGTGGGTATGATTGATTGCCTGCGTGACGGATCCGTTAGAGTGCAGGACGTCCATTGTGGGGTCGTGGACGCCGAGAGAGAATGCGCTGGAGCTCTTGACGCGGTGGTACTGAACGATCTCCTTCCTGATTATTGACTCACACCGATACGACACAAAGAGATCGACAGACACCCAGTGAGTGCACACCACAGCTGAGCTCTGTGTGTGGCTGGCGCCTTCCTTCTTCCTTACCCGTAGCAGATCTCATAGGTCCAGTACTCATCGCCTGCACACATCCACACACACGGGAGGTGCAAGTTCGCTCGTGTGTCTGCGCAAGTGCCACCTGGCTGGCTCACTTGGTTTCTTGAATACGTCACATTTCTTGCTGAGGAAGCTGGTACGCGACTTGCGCAGATACTCCAGCCCCTGCTTGGACATCCGACGCCTCGCCACAGACCCACCACCTGCACACACACACCCACACAACCACCCACACATCCACACATCCGTCCATCTCTCTCTCTCTCTCTCTGTGTGTGTGTGTGTGTGTGGATACCTCCGAGATTGGGCAGGACGCACTGGAACTTCTTGTCGAGAACGGTGATGTTCGTCATCCGCCACGAGTCCACAGGCCCCTCCTGGTCGACCAAAGCGGCCGACAGCCGGTGGCTGAAGTCCAGCTCCACCACGTGGCGCGAGTTGATGGACGTCAGAAGGGTGCACGATGCCAGCATCGGGTGCACGAGAAGCAGCAGGAGCAGCTGCGTCGTGCGGAGCCGATAGTGCCTCAGCCGGTGTGTGCCGCTGCTCTTGGTGGACGTCTTCATGGCTGCGGATGGCACTCATGCAGACAATGGCAGAGATCTCAATGTGAAACGGATCGGCTGAGAGATGCTGATGAGATGCCTCAGTGTTGATGCGGTTGATGGAGTCAACCACGAGCAGTCACGGTATGCGAGCTTGAAATGGGGAGAATGAGCAAAGGGAAAAAGTCATCGGAGGCCACCGAAGCGAAGTAAGCAGGCAAACTGGACCAGTTCCTGCCCTCCTGATGAGTCGATTCCTTCGTTTCCTTCTTCAGATGCCCGCCCGACGTGTCCCTCCAGCCAAGAGGTGTGCTGCATGCGACGACCGCACCGACACTCTGAAGCGGTGCAAATGCGGGCGGCGCTACCTGTGTGACGACTGCATCGACGACCGAAACGTCGACGACGCTCTCTGGTGCTCCAGCTGCGATCGAGAAAGCCCTGCGCTCTCAGTGCCAGTATATGTTTCATCGGAGGGGGTCTGGTGGTCTGGTGGGTGGGTGATAGAGGACCTGTTGTGTTGATAGATCTTTAAGATCCAGTTCACAAGCAATTGAAGGAGGAGCATTCATTCGGTCATCAATTAAGTTGTACACACGAGGGAGGGAGGCAGAGAGGGGGATGGCACGTCAATCACATACACATACACACATACGCGCACACAGCACAGCACAGCACACTCGCTGACGAATTGCTGACGTCCATCCGTCGTTTAAAACACTACAACCACACACACACACACCTTTGAGCGAGCAAGCTACCCGCAGCCAGCCGACGGTGCAAAAGCAAGAAGCAAAAGGGGAGAGGGCGAGAGAAACACAGCCTATCAAGACACCTGTCTGCAACGACCATTACCCAACACACAAACACACCACACATGCCGCCATCCATATGCCGATGGTGTCACTTTGTCACAGGTCGATAAGAGAGGATGCGGGCTTGTCGGCTGCTCCCGCCGGCTGCTGGCTGCTGGGCTCGTCAAACGACAGCAAATCCGCACTCAGTGGGGGTGGTGGGCCACCCTTCCCCTTGCCGCCCCCTCCGGCGGTCCGCTTCTTCTTAATCTTTCTCCGCGCCCCGTCTGTGTGGTGCCTTTGCTCAGCCCGCCTCTCCGTCTCGTAGTCATCACGCTCGTCACTGTCGTAGTCGCTCTCCTCCGACGCGCTGCTGTACCTCGCATAGGTGGGCGGGAACGGCGCGGCTGACGAAGGCCGCCGATCGTCGCCTTCGTCCCTCCCTCTCTCCCTCTCCCTCTCTCTGTCGTTGAGCCGCCCGTTGGCCCTCTCCCTCTCTCTGTCTCTGTCCCTCTCTCTGTCCATATCTCGTTTGGTCTGCGGTTCCTTCCTGGGTGGCGGAGGGCTCTTGCCCGAGAGGCTGAGGACATCGTACCCCCCGGACGCCTCGTCAGAGTCGCTGTCCTGGCGGTACCTGTCGCTGTTGGTGGTCTTGCTCCGCTGCTGCCGTGTGTAGGGTTTGGGCGATGGCGTGGGTTTGGTGGGGGAGAGGTGCTTGTTGGCCGTGTGGTTGGTGGCATTGGCGATGTCGCCTTCGTCGAGGTCGAGGAGGTCCTGCATGCGCCGCGCGTGGCCGGGGGTGCTGCTGGGGCGGTGGCCGATCGATGATGCCGCGGGGGAGGTCCCCACTGACACACACGGGACACCACACCATTTGTGAGTGTGTGTGTGTGTGGCGGATGTGTGTGGCCGCTGGATTACGTGGGTTTCGCGCTCGGATTTTGGCCACGCGCTTCTCCAGAGCCGCCAGCGTCTCGGGGGGCGGCTGAAGGAACCAACCAACGAAGAAGGAAAAAGATCATGTGCTGCATTGCATGCCCGCTGTCACGTGTGCTTGAGGGTCTCACCGCGTCGAGCACGGGAATGGACTCTGAAGGAACCTTTGGCAGTGTCTTCATGAAGCTGCAGAAGATCATGAGCCGGTCGGTCGTGTCGCACAGCAGCTTGTAACGCTCCAGCGCCTCCTGACGGAAAAACCACACCATTGATTGACAGACAGATAAGGACAGAGGCATGGTGTTTGTGTGTATAGTGTGTGGCCGACCTCACCTCCACAAACTCGTCCTCAAGGCTGTCCAGGCGGTCTGCACGCATAGACACACAGAGGGAGTGATGGAGGGAGGGATGGCACGTCCGCGCTGTCCCGAGTTATCATCCTCCGTGACGCACCTAGAATCTCGAGCACGCCATAATTCAGCAACGTGTAGACCTCCATGCACTCCTGTCGGACACGGATATCAATGTCATGCGTGCAGCTCAGACAGACGGTGTCTTGATCATTCATTTGCCTCAAGGCACCCACATACCCACCCACCTTGAAGATGTATCGGACACAGCACGACGTCAGGTCGCAGAACCCCGTTGGCACCAAAAACTGAGCGACACAGGAGAGAGAGGGGGGCCGTGACATGCCATCCATCTCTCTCTCTCTCCCTCTCTCTGTCTCTGTGTGTGTGTGTAAACCTTTTTGTCTCTGTCCATGAAGACGGAGATGCATTTGTCGAGGACTGACTGGATGAAGACGACGTCCCGCACCAACTCGTCGCTGTCGAGGTCCTTGAACATGCCATCAGACACCTTCGTACCCTGATGGATGGATAAATGGATGGACAGATAGCCGGATACACACCACACCACACCACACCACAGCACAGCACAGCACAGCACACCACGGCAGCAACGATGATCGATGTCTTCCTCGCCACAATATGATGGGTGCGTGTGGGGCTCACTCACTTTGCAGAGTTTGGAAGTTCGTTTGAGAATGGCGTTTGTGAAGACCTCCAGGAAGCTCGAGTAACGCCGGATGAGATGGGCATGGGTGTCAGCTGACACACACACACACACACATACATCCAGTGAGCGGACGTGTCCATCTGTGTGTGTGTGTGTTTGCTGCTCTTGTGTCTTTCCTCACCCTGTGGCCCCCACGCAGCCTCTTGAAACGACTGACAGGCCTTGAACACATCAAACTGATCAACACAGCAAAAAAGAGAGCAATGCTTGGGGCTGTGGGGTGGGTGGTGGTGTCTGTCTGTCCCCTGCGTGTCCTGTACGTCAGCGAGGAAGCTCTGCAGCCACTGTGGCGTTGTCTGGGGGCAGACGACGATGTAATGCAGCGCTATCAACACCTTCAATATCACCTGATGACCAATGACAGTGAGGGACGGGGCGGATGGCCACACACAACAGGGACAGCACACATCGATCACCCACACGATATGAGCCAGCCACCCCTGGTGCTCTTCTTCTCTTTCACCTTCCATGTCCAATTCTCCTGAATGCGGTGTAGCAGCGCATCTGTGACAAACACGCACACACGCACACACACACTGATTGCACGTACACGAGTCAACACTCCCTCCCCTGTGGAATCATTTCTCACCGACGGCCTCGGCGGAGGTGGTGTCACGATTGCCGCCCAGCAGCGTCTGCACCACAACTGACACCACCACACAACAGGCAGACCACAGACCACAGACCTCAGATCAGCGAACACAGCCCGGGCCGGGCTGGTCTGGCTGCTCGTATTGTGCGCGGTTGTACTTGTGAGGTTTTTCTCTTTGACTTCGCTTTCGTCGTCGAATGTGGCCTTAAGGAGGGCCTTCTGGAAGGGCGAGGCGAAGATGGTGGCGAATTTCCTGTTGAGGTGATCAACCGCACCTCGTACGCCGGCTGACATATTGATCAGCAGCAAGACGGCCCTGGAGGTGGCCGACCCCGCACCAGCCTCGAACCTCTCCTTTTCTTCTTGACTTCGGCTTCAAGCTCGCAACTGAGATCGCCCGTTTTTTCAAAGGTGAAGGAGGACGCCGGCGGAGCTGCGACTGTTTGGAGAGCTGTCGCCTATCTGATTTCTGCATCAAACACTAGTGCTTCCTATCCGTAGCTGACTACGTATCAGTGTCGGCGCCACAGGCCGTCTTCATCCATTTGGGACCATCAGCTGCACCCGCTACTGCCCTGTAGCTGCTCCACGGCCCTTGTCAAGCCCGCATTCAGCCTTTCTCCCGCCCCGTCGCCCTATGAGGCCCCCTGAAGCCACGACGATGGACGGCAGTGATTGCTGACCACGTCAGGAGGCAAACGCTCAAGATCCTGATACGACATTCGGTCGGTCGAGGTGCCTTCTCATCACCATGGATGCAGAGGAGCATCAGCACGGCAGTGAGCAGCCGGCGGCCGCTTCATCGTCTGCAGCTGCAGCTGCCGCCGGGGGCATGCCTGTCCAGATGGATATGGATCTTGACGCGGCCAGGGAGCCGGGTGCAGACAACCAACCGGCTGCTGCGGCTGCTGCGGCCGCTGCTCCTGGTCCACCCGCAGCCCCCGACCAGGACGAGCAGGACCTTTATTTCATGATGGTCCGCTTCCTCAAGTCGGGCCCTTTCCGCTCCATCGGCCAGCAGCTCGAGAGCCGACTCGACGGCACGCCGTTCCTCCCACCCCTCATGGACTGGGAGGGCCGCCAGGAGCACACCACATACGCCGAGGTTGCCTTCGCCAACCGAGGGGTGGAGCCAGACCGCCTGCTGGGCGTGGTCAAGGAGCTCCGGGAGCGGCGGGGGGACGCCCAGATGGAGCCGCGGATGCGGGCGATCCACCGTGCTGCCGAGCCAGACAGGAGGAAGGAGCTGATGGACCGGCATTTGTTCCATCGGATCCGCATGGGGCGGGCGGGGGGTGCGTTGGGTGCGGCGGGGCGGCCGCTGTCGCGCGACGTGTTTTACTTGGCTGCGGCGCGGCGGATGCAGCAGCTGGCGCATTTCTTCATCCACAGGACAGCTGAGGAGGACATCCAGCCGGCCGCCATCTACACCACACTCTTTGACAAAACCGGTGAGTGAGTGCGAGGCCAGAGTGACACACATGGCCAGCCACATGTGGAGGTGTCTGTGTGTGTGTGTGTCTGCAGGTGAGGTGATCATCACTGGCGGCGACGACGGCCTGGTGAAGCTCTTCCACGCCCGCACCGGCAACCTGGTCTTCGCCCTCCGCGGCCACGACGACGAAATCACGGACGTCGTCGTCTCCTCCGACAACCGATTCATCGCATCAAGCGACCTCAAGGGCATCGTCCGGGTGTGGCGCATCAGGCACACCGCATACGAGCCCGTGGCGGTCATCCCCCACGGCCGACGGGTGGACTTCATCCGGTTCACGCCTGCGGGTGGCCGGGGGAGCGACGGGGGCGTCCAGGACTTGATGCTGCTGACGGTGACCAACCACGGGATCTGTCAGACCTTCCCTTTGGCGGCGCTTGAGGACTGCGGCGGGCGGAAGTTCCTCGGGGCGTACCACCATATGGTCGATATACCAGGTGACCTAGAGAGGGAGGGAGGAACGAACTTGTGGGCGCGGCGCATTTATCAGTGTGGTCTCTCTCTCCTCTCTATTGTTTGTGTCGTGTGGTCAGGTGGCCGTCGTTTCTCGGTTCAGTCGTTCGAGATGGCCAAGTGCCCCGTCCCCGCCCCCCCACGCGTCAAGCAGCCCACACTCGAGGGCAACATCCTCTGGGCCACCGGCACATCCGACGGTGTGCCACGGATCTTCCGCACATTCCCCCTCCCCGCCACACACCCACTCGTCACGGCTGCAGAGGACAAAAGCCCAATCGAGCTGTTCTCCCTCCCATATGGCGACAGGAATCGGTCACCCGCACGGCCGCGGGGTGCCCCGGGGGGTGGTGGCGACTCGCAGGAGGCTGACGAGCCGGCGCCGGCAGCAGCAGCTGCTGCGGCCGCTGCCTCGTCGTCTCAGCAGCAGCAGCAGCCGGCACACCAGCCTGTGGTGATTGGTTCGTCCCGCGAGATGCGCGAGAGGGAGGAGCGGAAGATGCACGACAGAATGTACAAGCAGTCGAAGCTGTATGAGCTGCACGGGGAGCACACGGCGGGCAAGACCATCGTCAACGTCACCCTCGCGCACAACGGGGTGGACCTCGTCAGCGCCTCCAGCGACGGCTCCGTCGTCAAGTGGGAGATTGCCAATGCAGAGGCGCACAAACAGGTACATAGCCCTCTCACACACACACACAGCCACCCGCATCAATCTGCATCTCTCCCCCGTGTGTCGCTGCCCACCAGGTGCCGCGGAAGGTGTTGCGGCCACGTCAGGTGCCCTACGGCGGCGGCACGTGCCCGGCCCCGAAGGAGGGCGAGAACGCCTCCCTGCTGCAGAAGATCTTCTGCACCGACCGTGGGGATGGGAGAGACCTGTTCGACGACCGGCCGCGGTGGGTGTCGATGGTGGACACCATCGTGTGGACGCAGACGGACCGCTGGATCGTGGTGGCTGAGGCGGTGGCCTCGAGCGTCAACCCCAATGACGTGGGCGACATGCCGCGGGCGGTGGCACTCACCAGCTTCGATGCTGTGACCGGTGGGTGGGCATGCTGTGGATCAGGGGGATGGATGGATGGATGGATTGTGGGTGGCTGGGCTGTGTGTGTGTTGACTGACACAGGTAAGGAGTGGCGTACGATGGGCCGTGACGTGTTTCGGCATCGGCTGATGGTCATGGACGCACACCCACATTGCTCGCGCATTGTCATCGGGGCCGCCTACGATGGCAAAGTAGGCAAATGACGAGCCCAGCCAGCTAGCAACACACAAGCAGCTGAGCTGTGGCTCTCCCCTTGCCACCCTCTTTGTCTGTCTCAGGTAGCGTTGTTTGACGTGGTAGCTGGGGAGACCCTCAAGGTGTTCACGGCTTTCAGCCACCACTCGGAGCGTGCCTTCGTCGACGGCCGCTTCAATCCACAGGGCGACCTCTTCGCCGCCAGCGACACATACGGATGCATCTGGCTTTTCGGCACTGGTGAGTGGGTACATGGCCCCTCTCCCCCTCTCTCAATCATATGTGTCATCTCTGTCGTCTTTGTGGTCAGGTCTGCGGGATACGTACGCCTTGACGCCCTACGAGCAGTTCTTCGAGGGCGAGCACCACGCCCTCACGCGCGACGACCACTTCTGCCTGGTCGACCGCAACACTCAGGTGCCCCCGCACCAGCTGCCCAGGCGGCTGCTGTGCGACGCGCGGGGGTTCGCATACGAGATACAGCCGCCCGAGCCCGCCCCACTGGCCATGGCGAGGGATTATGGGGACGACGACCAGCTGCAGCAGCCGGCTGATAGCGGGATGGCCATGGACATGGAGGCACGGATGCAGGACATGGTCAGAGTGCGGCTGCCCAAGAAGATCACCAAACGACGGCGACCCCCTCCACCAGATAACGCGGACCAGCAGGATGCTGCCGCAGCTGCTGCTGCGTCGTCTGACGGGCCCCCACCCCCTCCCCCACCAGACAGCGGCCCACAGCCACCGTTCTTCGGTGCTGGTTGGCCTTTCCCCTTCCCTAGAGCCCCACCTCCGCCCCCCGACGCCCCCTTTGGTGGCCTGGGGATGCGACCCATCGGCCGACTCGACCGGATCGGCGATGGACCTGCCCGCATCCCACGGCCCTTAGGGCGGAGGGATGAGGCGCCTGCACCCGCAGCAGCAGCAGCTGCTGCTGCAGCACCATCGGCAGCAGCAGCGGCAGCGGCAGCTGAGCGTCCTTCTGTCCCCATGGACGACATCCGCAGGCTGGTTAACCGTCCGTCGCCGCGGTGGCGTGGTCGGCGAAGCGAGCGTGACGACGCGAGGGCGATGAGGCTTGCCGCGGCGCTGCGGGACAACGACTATGAGACACTCAGGGAGTTCAGGAGAGAACAGGTGAGTGTGGGCTTGGAGGGAGGGGAGCAGAGAATGAATGCCACACTTACCCATCTAGCCCTCTTTGTCCATCTTTCTCTTCTTTCGCAGGCCCAGCGGCTTCGGATGCGTCGCGCCCAGCACTCGTTCGGCCACCAGGTGTACATCAACCCCGACGCAGCCAATGCGCCCTTCCCACCCTCAACCCCCTCGCGACGACCACACGCACACGCCCGCGGCACACGCCAGTCCGCCCGGCTCGCACAGGGCCATAACGTCGTCACACTCAACGACCTGGCAGACAGAGATGACGCGGCACAGCAGCGTCGGAGGGGCGGCCGGGGTGGGCGGGGGAGAGGCTCGTCGCGTCGCGTCATCTACCGCGACGACCGTGAGCTGTCCCGCGAGATGCGCATCGACAGCGACAGCGACGATTCGAAGGCCGATCCTGATTATGAGTACGATTGGTGGCGGTCGGCAAGGGCGGGGAGGGGGCGGAGGAGGACGGTGCGTGGGGCTGGGAGGGGTGGGCCACAGAGGCCACAGCGCCGAATGAGCACTCGGTCGAGGCCGGGCATGGATGACGAGTCGCAAGAGGTGAGCAGCGGGCGCCCATACACACATTAAAGTATCCCTGTGTGTGTGTGTGTGTGTGTGTGTCATGATGTGCAGGGCAGCAGGCGTCGTGAGAGCCGTGCCCGCGATCGCAACGACTACACGTCCAACAGTGACAGCGACTCCAGCCTGGCCAGCGACCCAGGGGTGAGTCACCACACCACACATCAACACAACACACCCACATTTACATATGTGCCTCCTCTCCCCTTCTGTCTGTCTGTTGTCAGCTCGCGAGGCTCCGCGCCGCCACCACTGATGGCTTCGTAGAGGTGGACGGCAAGCGCATGACCGCCCGTGACTACCGCGCCTACCTCCGCAACCAGAAGCAGCAGCGGCTGCTCAACGAGACTGCCACCGACTCCGACCTCGGCACGCCCGCGCGACACAGGAGAGGCCGAGACAGAGACAACCGCCCCAGGAGCCCCGACAAACGGGGCGGAAGGCGCAACCTCACCCGCAAGAAGACGCCAGACAACGACACGGGCGAGGTCCCTCTGCCCCCGTTTGTGGTGGCCAAGGGCGACGACACGCCGGGCGAGCACGTGTGTGCGGTGTGCGGCAAGGGGCCGAGGCTGGTGGGGGGGCTGGTGGGCCCTGCGCGTCGGGAGCCGCTGGCAGGCCCGTTCGTGGTGCCTGGCAAGGGCGGTGAGGGCCGCAAGTGCTGGTTCCACCTGCAGTGCCTCGGGGCCATGTCGGGGCTGAAATTCGACAAGTATGCCAGGGGGCTGATCAATCTCAAGGTGAGATGGATGACTGACACAGGGAGGGGACGGGAGCGGTGGCTGTGCCGTGAAGGCACCATGGAAGCATCCGTGTGTGTGTAGAGGGAGTTGGACCGCATGGGCGGGTGCAAGTGCAGCGGGTGTCGGTCGGGCGGCGCTTTGACGGGCTGCCAGAACCAGAAGTGCAAGCGGACCTACCACTACTGGTGCTCGCTCAGGGAGAAGAACTCCCTCGACAGGACCACCCTCGACATCCTCACCTGCAGACTCTACCTCTGCAAATCGTAATGTGGACACACACCTCACCTCACAGACACACACGTCCACACATGTCGAATGGATGCGTCTGTGTGTGTGGCTTTAGGTGTCGTGAGGGTGACTCGCTCATCAAGCAGTATGTGCGTGGCGAGCTGTTCCTGTACCCCGAGATGCGCCAGTGGCTCACCGTCAACGAGGTCTGCACGGGAGGCGACTACGTCCCACAGCTCGGTACACACCACCACCCCACCCAGACCCACCCACACCCACACACACACACACGAATGCCGACAGAGGGAGGGAGCACAGCACGGCTGACGTGTGTGTGATTCGATTCGTGTGTGTTTTGTTTGGTCAGGCGACGTTGTGCGGTACTTCCCCCGTGCGCACATGGACGACATCGGAATGGAGCACGACGACGGCCCCCTCTACCGCGGCGACGTCCCGCAGCTGCTCTACCCCTCACTCCTCCAACCCTGCGACGCCATCGTCGTCGACATGACATTCGACTTCCCTGGTCGGTCAGCCGCAGAGGAACACACAAGTGTGATGGAGGAGTTTGTCTGTGTCTGTGTCTGTGTGCGTGTGTGTGTGCAGGCCATGCGGATTCGCCTTGCTGGGTGGGTGTGACCCCTCTCGGCCCAATCGCTGCGGTGCTCACGCTGCAGATACTCGAGCCCCAGCCTGACGCAGGTGAGAGACATCACTCACAGGCAGGCAGGCAGGCAGACAGACAGGGGCAGAAAGGGAGCCCAGTCACATGGTCTGACACACCTGTCCACTCCACTTCAGGCAAGTGCTTCACGGTGCGTTATCGGCCCTTCGGCGTGGCGGAGTTCCTCACCCTCCGATCGGACGTGCTCAAGGGCCTCAAGCGCAACGCCGACAACCCTTTGCGCAAGGGCCACCGGTGCTACTGCGTCTTCGACAACAAACGGTCCGAGGGCAAGGTCATCAGCACACGCAAGCCGCTCCCATGGCCGCCCAGGAACGTCCACATGCCATTCCCACTCGACGATCGGGGGCCACCTGCCGCCTCACCTCCACCAGCACCAGCACCACCACCAGCACCAGCACCTGCAGCTGCTGCATCTGCATCGGCCAATGACGTGGCTGAGCAGCTCGACTCCGCACAGCAGCAGCCGCCACCAGATCCCCAACCACCAGCAGCAGCTGCTGGTGGTGCGGCAGACAACGACGAGTCGCAGGGCACCGTGCAGAACGAGCCGGTGGCCTCTCCCCCTCCCAGCAGCCAGCCGGGGAGTCACGAGAGGTCCAAGCGCGAGAAACGGAACAGCGACGAGGCCCTGATGAATGTGGAGGTCCGCCGCAGCCCCTTCTTCGACCGCATGGACTTCCGCAGCTCCCGCGTCCCGGTGGTGGCTCGGGCGACCGATGACGGGTGGGAGTGTGTGCAGGTGGAGTGGGACGATGAGCCGAATGAGCCAGGACAGGTGAGGTGGGGTGGGAGCCACACACAAGCACTGACACACACACACACACAGAGCGAGAGAGACTTAGTGTGTGTCTGAGTGAGTTTGCTGTACGTGCAGTGGTTGAGTGTGTGGGAGGTTTACCATCTGTTTGAGGCCACACCTCCGCACGAGGAGGGCGCGGCAGCAGCAGCCGGCAACCAGCCACAGCAGCAGCAGCGGCAGCAGCAGCAGCAGCCAGGTGCGGCTGACGAGCCCCCCGCCCAGCCAGCAGACGCCCCACCCCCGCTCCCACAGCCGGCCGACCAACAGCACGAGCAGGACATGGCCGACGCAGCAGGGGCGAAGGAGGAGCAGCCGGCAAGTAGTGCTGCTGCTGCGGCTGGTGGTGCCGCTGCCGCTGCGGCTGCATGTGGCGGTGATGTGGGTGTGGTCGAGGAATGGCCCGAGAGCATGTCCGACGACCGCCGTGAGTACCTCATCTCGTGTCTGGAGAAACTTATGGAGATACCTGACCCAAACCCACTGCCAGGGTCAGTGAGCGAGCGAGCCACCCACCCCCCACTCACCCACCCACATGGTGCCGCATCTGTGTCGGTGTCTGTTTACATGGCAGGATCTATCGCCGCGACAGTTCTGCTGGCGTGCCCCGTCGGTATTTCGCGTTCGAGGACATGATTCCCCACTGCAGGGAGACCGAGGAGTCGCCCAGGAACGATGAGGGCAACGAGGGTGACGGTGCTGGGGCTGCTGGGCGGAAGCGGCGTCGCCAGGCCAAGTCCAAGAACTGGATCGAGACCTACTGGAAGACCATCCCCTACCCCATCTGCCTCAAACTCATTCTCACACGACTCCACAACAAGTGAGGGACGGAGTGAACGAGCCAGCCCAGCCAAACACACCACCGCACCATATCCACGATGTGTGTTGATCTGATGTGTTGTGTGTGTCCACATGCAGCTTCTATCGTCGCGAGGCGGCCTTCCTGTTTGACATCGTGCTCCTCCGCTCCAACGCGGAGCGCTTCAACGGCCAGGACAACCCCATCGCAGAGCGGGCCCGTGAGCTGGAGCAGCAGATCGCAGGCCTCCTCGACCACAACGAGCTCCCCGTCGACCCAGAGGACGGCTCCTTCATGCCGCCAATCCACATCGAGCCTCCAGAGATAGTCGAGGAGGAGGAGGAGGAGGAAGAGGAGGAGGAGGAGATGGAGGAGGAATATGAAGGAGAAGAAGAAGAAGACGATGAACACGAAGAGCAAGAGGAGGATGAGCCTGAGGAGGTGGAGGACTCCCGCGTCCGCGCGGCCCGCCGGCGTGTGAGGGACCGCGGGTCGTCGGAGCTCATGCCGCCCCCATCCGAGCTGCCCGGTGCTTTCCTCGAGGGCCGCCGTCTCAGGAGTCGGGATGGCGGCCGGCTTAGGCGCCGCTACGCGCAGGAGGATTCTCAGGAGACCGACGGCCTGGTCAGATCGCCTGCCAGACCCCGAGTGCGCCCACAGCGCTTCGACGATGACGTGGTCATGATGGACGACGGTCGCCCGAGGCCCAAGACGCGTCTGCAGGCCGCATTGGCCCAGGTGCAGCAGCTCTCATCTGACATCCACGAGGAGGAGCAGGGTGGGCAGAGGGCCCGCCGACGAGCTGCGGCAGCCGCGTGCCGGAAGCTCAACAGAATCCGACGGATGGAGGAGGAAGGCAGCCCCTCGGACGAGTATGAGGTGAATGAGATGGCCGTCGACATGCAGAGGCCGCCACCGCAGCATCACTACGGCACTCGGAGGGCCCAGCCTGCACGGTTCCCATCGACGGATGAGGACTTCGCGGGCGCACCACGCAGGCAGCGTGACGGCTCTGACGACCTCCAACCAGGGCCCGCAGCGGCAGCAGCAGCAGCAGGCGGCAATCGACAGAGGAGGGGTCGGTATCGCGATGCTGGTGAGGTTGATGACATGGCCCCAGCTGCGCACTTGCCCAAGGAGGTGCGCAAGCTCCTCGACCTCGACAACCAACCGCGACACCCACCCACCCGAGGCCAGCGCAAGGACTCACAGGAAGACGGCCATGCAGCCTACCACGATGACCATCACATCCGGCCCAGGCGGAAGCGGCGTGTTGACGACGACGACGGCGTGAATGTGGATGAGCAGCCGGGGGGTGATGAGGAGCAGGGAAGGCAGCAGAAACGGACACGGCGTCATCCGGGCCCCGGTGATGATATGCCCAATGGCAGCAGCGGGGCGGCGCATGAGGACGGCTGGAAGGGGCGTGTCGGGAGGCGGCACATCAAGGAGGAGTGAGTGGGTGAGTGAGTGAGTGAGTGGGTCACGCGGGTGCGGTGCATGTGTTCTGTCTTTCACACATACTGACATGCAAATGGTGCGTCCGTCGCTGGAACACTTAGTGGATGGATGGATGGATGGATGGATGGCTAGTGAGTGAATGGCATTGGTACAGTAAGTACACGGCTGACTGTCTGTTCCATTTCAATTGTGAATCAATCTGCCCCTCGCGCGGGCCCCTAAACCCTAGACCCATTCATCTCCTTTCAAACCCGCTCCTTTCCCGACTCCGCTTTTCTGTCCTCGCTTTCTCAAGGCTGTTGCGCATCACAGCCACTCGGCACGCTGCCACCGTCATCGCATCCCCGCTTCGTCGCTTCGGTGCATCTTCGGCCTTCCCTTCCCGCTCGTTACCCTCGTCTGTCTGCTGCATTCGCAAGATCTCTCAGTCCACCATGATGGTTCGCCTGTCTGCCGTGCTCCTGGCTGTTGCCCTCTTCTCTGCTGCCCCTCTTTCCCTGGCAGCCAAGCCGGTGCTCGAAGGCAGCTTTGTTGGTGAGCACGCACACGTGACGAACATGGCGGGCAGCACGTGCAGACGCGTGTTTCTGGTGTGTCTGTGTGCGTGTGTTGGGCAGATGCCGACAAGAGCGTGTCAGGGACCATCCAGGTGCTGGAGGAGGATGACGGCTCCTACTCGGTCAAGTTTATGGACTACGAGACCTCTGACGGCCCCGACCTCTTCCTGTACGCACACACGCCACACGCTATTCCATGTATCTTGCTTGGCTCATCTGTGTGTGTGCGTGTATGTGTTGTGTGTGTGCAGGTACTTCTCGCCCCAGGAGGGCGCTACTGGCATTGGTGGCGGTGCGCTGATGGTGGAGCTGGCGCCTGACGTCAATGCTGCAGGGCAGGCCCTCTTCGAAGGGTGAGTCACTGATTGCCTGACGCACCGACTCACAGAGAGATGCATGTGGAGGTTGGTTGGTGTCTGCCCACTGTGGTTCCTTCCTCTGCGTTTTGTGTTGGTTTTCCATTCAGTGAGGCCATGTCCAAGCTGCCGGCCGACTTCGACCCGGAGCAGGCCAAGCGGGCCCTCATCTGGTGCCGGGAGTTCGCCGTGCTTTTCGGGTATGCCGACCTGAAGCCCGTCGAGCGCCGCTCTCTGCGTGGATAGATGGATGGATGCATCAACAGCAGAGAGGTGTGTGGTCACTTTTTGTGACCGTTGCGTGGATGGGATGCCGCGTAGACCTGATGATGTGCTTGTTTAGCGAGCGTGCATACACACATGGGTACATACATACATATGGGTAGGTAGGGAGAGAGATAGGGAGAGAGGAGCTACACCCGCGTCGATCCCAGCTGCTGAGATGTGATGTGTGAGGGAGAGGTACCGGCACGCCGACTGAGACCGTTTCTTGTTGCGGTGGGTATTGATTTTGATTTAACACTGGTGTGTTGTTAAATCAAGATCCATACCCATGTCAACAGCAAACTGTCTCAGTAGAGAGGGAGGGCGGATGGGGTGGGATTCATTTCTGTGGTGTGTGAGCACGAGAACAGATGGGGGATGGATGGATGGGTGATGCATTTGTGGTGTGTGGTTGAGTGATTCGTCTGATAGAGGCGAATGCACTTGCTTGTGTGGTGGCTGACGTGATGCTATGGAATGGACGGTAACACATTCATTGATCTGAACCAGTGCGGACAGCATGTAAAATGAGACGACGCACAACAGTTGCGCACGCATAAAGCAAACATGCACACGTAGCGTACACGGAAGACGACCAGCAAACGCACCGCACGCTATTTAAATGCATGCCGTGAACAATCGTCCCGCACATATCGACACACAGCGGGGTGAGGGGGGAGGGGCGAGATGTGGGCAAGCCATGGGTGAGGCAGGCCATGTTTGTATACATGTTGATATGCATATCACGTCACCTTTCTCTCTCTGGCTCGGGCTGGAGGAGGAACGAGAAAAATGTTTTAGTCTTGTGGTAGTGGTGTGTGAAGTGTTGCACCGGCTGCGCGTCAGGGCGGCCAAACAGCCGATCCGTGTCCACGAATCCATCCATCCATCCATCCATCCATCGCTACACGATTCCCCCATGCAATGAATGCATGCACGCATACAGTATGTGTTCATAAAGGGCATGGAAAGTGAGAAGAGAAGAGAGAAGAGAGAGAGTAGGGATGGATGGACCTATAAGATCATATCAGGTCGCATGAAGTCGGGTCAGATCAGATGCGGGGCTGCATGTTGGTGGCCGCGCTCATGGACTCGAAGGCGCTCATCTGCTGGAGTGTCGACAGCACCTTGTGAGCGTGCTCGGGAACCGCCGGCAGGTCCCACCCGTCGCGGGACGTTGGCATCGCCAGGCCCACCTGGCCCACCTGGTCGTGCTGCATGGCGTTGGTTAGGGCCGTCAGGCACTCATCTGCCGTCACGCCATGATGTAGGGTGACGCCGCCCGACCCGCACAGTGCCGCGATCATGCAGTCCTGCAGCACAAACATGCAGTGGGTACAGAGCAGGCTGGTCGCCATGCTCGTGTGTTGTGCGTGACGAATCTCACCTGGGCGTATGCCCGGAATTTGTCAGGGGTTTTCATGTTGATGCCGTCCTCCTGCTTGCCCACCTTACCGGTGAGTAGCGGCTGGATGAAGTCCTCGTCATACATCGTGATACACTCGCGCACATGGCCGGCACACATCGGCATGAGGAGCGCGCCCAGGCTCAGGCTCTGGCTCGCCAGCCGTGCCTCGGGGACGAACACCCGGTGTGTCCGCCCCGTCACGTCCGAGGTGTAGCGGATCTCCGCCACGAGGTTGCGGTCGCACTCCTCGAGCATGTCCTGGTGCAGCGGGTGGGCGATGTTGGTAGTCCTCTCTGTATATGCGGCAGTCGTCCTTGTGGCCCTCCTTCCAATGGCCCTTCTGACACGCCTGCACACCCAACAACCACACACAGATTCATGATGGCATCCGCTGCGCGGCCACCTCATGCACGACGCACCTGGCTGCAGTAGAAGAAGCACCGACACGCCGAACACCGCTGACGCAAGTTGAAGGCAAAGGGAAGACGAGATAATATGTCACTCGCCTTGCTTCCGCTTCTTTCTTCCCTTCCGCCTTACCTTGGTGGCCATCTTCTTCCTGCAGCTGGAGCAGAAGGACACGAAGGCGTAAGTGCCGTCCTGCTTGAAACACGAGATGAACATGCAGGCTCAACAAATCACGAGCGCACGCTATCAAAGGCTCACGGACAACTACCAGCTTCGCGCAAGCTTAAAATGGCCAAATCGATCGCGGCGAGAATTCCAAAGTCTCGCCGTCTACCTGGAGACGGGACATGGAAAAAGAGGATTTCCGACTGCACTTCAAGACAAATCCGCCATCCTGCCTCGCCCTGAGTTTCTTCGCCTTCGTCAGCGGTTTTTCCCTTCCGTTTCCTCCCCTTTCGCACCGCTGCTCCTCCCCGCCCCTGCCAGCCCCCTCTTCGACACGGAACAGGCCATCATGGAGTTCGAGGGAACTCGCCCGCCACCGTCCAGCTTCACGCTCTCTTCATTTTGACATTGTCAACAATGGGTCGCGTCGGCCGCACCCGTTCACTGGGCGCCAACGCCCTCAAGAGCATCTCGTTCCACCCGTGTGAGTCCCTGCAAGACTATCACAAGCGCCCTTTCACCTTTCACCCGACGTTCGGCGACCACTTCTTCGACACGGACCAGGCCGTCATGGATCTCGAGGAGTTAGCCCCAGCCGAGTCCGTGCACATCTTCTACACCCCCGACACCTTCGACCTCTTCGTGAAGATTGAGGGCGAGAGTCCACAGGCCTCCCGAAAGGGCGTCATGGACTGCCTGACCAAGGCAAAGTGGACCAAGTTGGCCTTCCCGAGCGGCTTCTTTGCCATACTCCCGAGACTGTGTCATGGACTGCCTGGCCGACGACGTGGCCTCTACGGAAATGGAGCAGCGCCACGACCAACGGAAGAAGGAAAGGCAGCGTCAGGCCAGCCTTGCTGCGCTTAAGGTACAGCGCCAGGTACGGGTGAATGGAGTGTACGCAGCGATGAGGTAGGACGACTCCCATCCGTCGAAAGCTGCACGAGCCAGGCCTGGCAAAACGGCAGGCGCAATGCTCTGTGCGAAGTTCGAATTCAGGCCCAGGTCATCAAGGGGTTCTTGTTGCCGTCAACGCCCTCGAGACATTTTCAACGATTATCGACCCTATGGCCGCGTCGGAGCACCAGTTCTGAGCCGCTCCGACTCCCCACCAGCCTCTGATCCTTACTCGCTGCTCCGACTGCCCGTCGGTTTCTGACGCCGCCACCGTCCAGCCACACCAGCAGCATGGAGGAGCCATCGTCCCTTGTTTCGTCCAGCCAGGAGCTCTCTTCGTCCAGCAACGTCCAGCCAGGAGCTCTCTTTCCCTTGTTTCGTCCAGCCACGAGCAGCCATCGAGCAGCCATCGTCCCTTGTTTCGTCCAGCCACGTGCTCTCTTCGTCCGGAGTATCTCGTTGGCCGCCATTCGATGGGAAAAGGGATGTATCGAAGGGCAAAGAGCAGCTGTATTTTCCTCCTCTTGGTATTCCTTCCCAGCTTATCGTTGTCTCCATTTTATATCCTGAAGTTTGGGACTTTTCTATCCGGCCCGGCCCCCGCCGTACGTGGCGAAGGTGAGAAGAGCGAGGAGACACTGTACTGAGTTGCAGGCGATGTGTAGGCACAGCTGAAGAGGGCGCTGCAGCTGCGGGACGAGATGCACGAGGTATAGAGGGTCAGACACGAGGATAGAAGCCAGATGTATCCACTGACAACACATGTGTGTGTATGTATCGATGGACCTTTTGCGTGTGCAGGCCGCCCTGCGCCACGCCCAACAGCAGCTCGCTGAAGAACACCACAAGCGCCAGGTATGCATGGCCCGATACGACGACAGCTAGGCTATATCAATCGACAAAATGTGTGCAGGATGACATTGTTTGGTTTCAACGACGATATGACGAGATGGGTAAATGAAAGAGACGGAAGGCATGTATGTACGTCATCGTGCATATGTATGTATGTATGTATGTCAGAGGCCGACCACCTTACCGCCCTTCGCGAGAAAGACGACGTCATCGGTCAGCTGAGTGAGCGCTGAACAAATATGATGACACAACGTGCTCACACGATGCAGCTTTCTGTATCTCTGTCTGTCTGTCTGTCTGCATCAGACACACGCCTGGCCGCCGCAGACCACACCATCGCCAAGCAACAAGAGACCGCGTGTGAACACAAGAGACATGAAAGAGTCGTGCGAATGCATTCATTGCTTGTATGTTTCTCCCTCAATGGATGCAGATCGCCTCCCACGAGACCAAGGAGCGAGACTGGCGCCCCTGTCACAAGGAGTGGCAGGAGCGCCACAATTGGGATTACGTGCGAATAATCGACCAACGTGAGCCGCACACAAATACACACACACGTTCGCCTGACTGCCATGTGTGAGTCTCTTGGCCGCCCTGTTTCTGTTCTTCAGATGCTGCGTTGAAGGCGATACGCGGCCGCACCGCGAGCTTGGAGAAGGTTCGTTCAAACGATATGCGTACGTAGCGGGAAACGAGAACACTCACTCTCACAGGTGCCGCTGTCTGGTTCTTTGATTGCTTGCAGCTCATCAGTTCCGTACGGCCGCTGTCCAAGGAGGACTTCATGACAGACACGGCCTACCACGACTACTGCCGGGCTGTTCCAGTGTTTGATCGTGAGCAAGGCACTCGGCACACGAAAACCCATCGCCACTCATATCTGTGCGCGTTTGTGTGTGGATTGTTTTCTCCCTCAGAGTGTGGGTATTCGCCCGACCATGTCAACATCACCACCGAGCACAGCGCTACCATCACCAGTGTGTCTGGGCTGCCAGACTCCATCAACCACGACGTCCTACTGCAACAGATCGAGACCGTAAGCCAGCCAGTCGACTGTCATACCAAGTACCTAAACATACAAAGCTGTTTATCCTGGTGTCACGTGTGTGTATGGTCAGGCATTCATCAACTGCCACGGCTTGTGTTTGTGTGCGTTTGGGCATCGCGAGCGCACTCCTCCACTGGCTAGTTTTTCGGTCGGTTGGTCGTGTTTTGGTCGGCTGCACTGGGGGAAGGGGGCTGATCGGGTGCGTTTGCGTGTGGTGATAGTACGTCCATGCAGATTTGGGATTTTCGTCTCGTGCGTGCCGTGTGTGCGGTCGCCCGGGCGCTTCGGCTCATCCTTTGATCCGAGAGACAGACAGAGACAGATCGGCCGACCGACCGACAATGGGATTGCGTGTGTGCGAGTGAGAGTGTTCGGGCGGGCAAAGGCTGCTTTTGGGTGCTGTGCGTGTGTGTGGTGATAACAAACTGTCTGACATTGGCTGTGGCCGGCTGCTGGCTGGCTGGCTGGCCGGGTGACTGGCTTGCTGGATGGTGCATTGCTGCGTGGATGCATGTGGTTTGGGTACGTCCATGCATGCAGGTTTGGGATTTGAGAAGACTAGTGGACTCTGGGTAAGACTACTGCACGGACGCTGTGTCTGTGCGCTGTTTGTGGTGTAGGTGTAGGTGTGTGTGCCTTGGGTGCCGGTTGTGTTGCTGAGGAGAGAGAGAGAGAGGCTGTCTGTCTGTGTTTTAGGGACTTGCTGCTGTACTTTGTGCCGTGGGTCCGTTCGTTGTGGGTTGACTGTCTGCCAGAAAAGGGCAGACACTGTCAGCAGGGAGGACACAAAACGAGTTCGTCAAATCTACGGCGGCCCCGGTAAGATGTGGCTCGATGAGAACCACACAATGTGTTGTTGGCCTGCTCTTTTTCGTCTGTGCTGATGTGCAGCTGCATCGGTGTCTACATTCTATATCTGTTCGTCCCGTCCCATCGCTCCTGCCGGCTGTACCTGAGAAAATGGTGAGTGAAGTGGGCCACGAGCCCAGCAAAGCTGTCATCCATCGCCGTTGATGTGTATGTGTGTGTGTGTCATCAAGATGGAGCACGCCACCCGAAGACTTGCACCACCACAACCACATCTACGATCGCAAGGTGGCAAGGTGGCAGGCCAACACACGCAGGCAGACAGGGAGCATCCACAATGTGTGTGCAGTGCATGCATTCATCACATACATATGAGATCATCCCTTCTATCTGTCTGTCTGTCTGTCTGTGGTGGACATGGTCGCGGTGGACAACGGCCGCGAAGGCGATCCCATGATGGTCAGCAGCCGTTTCTGTGGTGAGAGAGTGCCGTTGCCGGACAGGTGACTGACTAGGTGCGCGTGCCTGGGATTTGAGTACTCGACTTGGTTGGATTTGTGTCGGACAAGTCGAGCAGCAGTGCAGTAGTGCAGCAGCCGCCGCTGGTGGTGGTGGTGGTGCGAGGCACCACGCCATGACGTTGCGCGGGAGGCGAGGGAAGCGGTCTGTGAGCGGGAGCCAAGGGCTGAAAATGGTCAGTCAGTGAGTGCGAAAGTGTGCCTATGCTTTGCATCCTATCCTGTCTGGTCTGTGTGGGTGTCCGTCTTATCCATGGTGCAGAGCATGGCGAATGAGGATGCGGGCAAGGGCGATGCGACCGGTTCCATCCCGACCATCGACTGCCTCGTCAACGAGCTCAAGCAAACCGAAGACCAAGCCGAGCGGTCGGTGGACACCTACCTACACTTACCACACACACACACACACTGCCCTCGCCTGCCTCCCTGCGCATATCGTTGGCATCTGTCAATCAGGATGACGGAGCTGCTGGAGGTCGCCCGTCTGCTGCCGGACCCCCTGCCGAAGAAGTGCAAGAAAGTGATGCACTTCAAGTACGTCCATCGCACACACACACACATGCACACACACACAGACGGGGATCATATATTCCGGGGGATGCCACGTCTCATCCGTGTGATCTCTGTTCGCTGTGTGATGGGTGCAGCACGGTCAAGAAGCTGCGGAGTGTCTTTCCACAGGGAGGCGGGGAGGGAGGGGGGAAGGAGAGGGTCAAGAAGCCCGCCAAGCCACACTCAAGGAGTTCAAGAAGGTATGAATGTCAGTCGGCACATAGCATACACGCTCATGTCTGTCTGTCTCTCTCTCTCTCTTTCTGTGCGTGTGTGTGTGTGTGGTTGGCATGGTGTCTGCAGAACTTCACCTCCAATGGCGCGGAAGCCCTCGGGCGACCCCGACGGCCAGCCGTCGCCCAAGAGGGCAAAGTGAGTGGTGGATGCGTAGAATTTGGGGGTGTATGACGTGATTTGGCAACCAGGAGCAGCCACCGTCATCGCTCCAAAAGCTCGCTGTCTACATTTTATATTTTGTGATCGTCTGATCTGACCAGACTCTTGTCCAATTTAAAAGCGTGGCAATGAATAGATCGCCGATCAACGAATTAGCTCGCACATGTTGCGCACACAGCACCTCCTCCGCAGGGCATCCTCCGCAGGGCATCCTCCAGTCCCTTCCTGCTCCTGATTCCTACAAGCAACCAGGAATCATTCTCTTCTCTTCAGTTCGTTCATCACTTCCCATCAGCTCTCGATGAGTCATGGCTTCCCCATCGCCCCTCGATTACCGGAGGCTGCCTGACGTCGATGACACCGACAGCTGGTCCGACTCAGGGGTGAGAAGGAGAAACGGGGACGATGCTGGCGCATGGCTGACTGCCCATCCGCTGTGTTGATGCAGTACGCGCACAGGAAGCCTCTTCGTGCAGCGAAGAAGCGCGCGGACATTCAAACGACCATTCGGGAAAAGAATGAGGTCAGCGAAAGAAAGTGAGTGACTGTTCATCCGCAGAGGCGTGTTCTTGTTTGCAGCATGTGGCTGAGCCGGCCGGCAATGTGTGGTGCTGCTGCCTTGGAGGCGCAATGGTCAGACATGCACATCGTGACGGCGCAGACACACCACACACCTTTGTCTGTTGCGGCTTTCAGCTGATGGAGAAGATCGCAGATGCGTGCAAGAAGAACCGGTTAAAAGACCTGAGGTCGGCTCACGTCCACGACCACGCGTATTTCGGCTCTTTTTGCACGTGTTCTGGCCGCCTTTGTGCAGGATGGAGCGTCGCTTCAGTGAGGCCATGTTCGTCAAGGCGTTCGAGCGGGGCAAGAACTGCTTCATCTTCAGATTTGGCACCGTCGTGTGCTGGGACTTCAACGCTGACGAACGACAAGTGAGAGAGGGAGGGAGGGAGGGAGGGAGACCGTGCCCAGAAAGTGTGGAATCTTTGTCCTTGGGTTTGTTCGTCAGCGTTTGGTGCAGCTATTGCTGCCCTTCATAGTGGAGGTGCTGACCGAGAAGCAGCGCGAGGAAGACGACATGAGTTACGTCTGGTGAGCATTCAGCGAGGCGGCCCACCTACCTGTCTACTGCATGAATGCACGTGTGGGGCCTGGCAGGGGCGACAAGCCGCAGATCCGCAAAGACACCATGCACCTGGTCAGCACATTCACCCACACAGTCGCGAAAAGGGCCGAGTGTGTCAGAGGCCGAGCCGAGAGACCCTATCTCTCACCTGCCGATGCGCGCTGTGTGTGCAGGTGACGTCGGACATGTTTGAGAAGCTGGCGTACAGCTATGCCTTCGCCCAGAGCGTCAAGCTGACGGTGTTTGAGGAGGTCATCGAGAACACCATCGAGTCGACCAGAAACATACCAGGTATGAACCTAGACAGACACACGCATACACAGACACTCAGACACACCGACACACAGACAGAGACAGAGAGAGGCAGACAGATACACAGACAGACACAGACACAGACATAGACACAGACACAGACAGACACACAGACACAGACAGACACACAGACACAGACAGACAGACACACAGACAGACACACAGACAGAAAGAGAGAGCGAGTACACATGGTTCTTTGTCGGCCCCATGTTCATACATGCAGAGGGTTTGATGAAGACTGGCAAGATCCATCTGAAGCGCGAGGACATCTCCAAGAAGATCGGCGAGTTGTTCCTGCAGCGCTGCTACGTCAACCTGCACACCGACATCCTCGACACACCTGGTAGGCCAGGCCAAGATGGCCGGGAGGCACACAGCAATGCCGTTGTTGGCTCGCTGTCTGAGTGCAGACATCTTCTGGGAGTTTGACGAGTTTGAGGGCACATACTCGTGAGCGACAACCGATCATCGGTGGCCACGCATAGCATACACACCTGGGCGTTTGGTGCTGTTCTGCATTCAGTTCATGTCGTGGCTACCTGGAGATCACCAAACGAGTCGAGATCCTCAACCAGCGGTAGGGAGACAGCCAGGGACGGACAGCAGCAACCACTCACTCACTCACTCCTGCGATCGCATCGGTGTCTGTCTGTGTCTGTGTGTGGCATCGCATGTAGGCTGGACATCATAAAGGACCTGTATGACATGCTCCACAACGAACTCACCATACAGGTCAGCAAGTGAAGCCGACCCACCATGACGATGTGTCCCGGGCTCCCCCCTCACTCCTCCTTCGTGTGTGTATGTGTGTCTGCCTGCCTGCCTGCAGCATGGGTACAAGTTGGAGTGGATTGTCATCTACCTCATCTGCATTGAGGTCGCCATCGAGGTCATCTGGAACATTCTCATCAAGGACGTCTTCGGATGGGTCTAGCCGAGTTGATGTCGGTCACCCGGGCGGCTTGTCCGTCGCCTCTTGTCGAGTGTTGCCGCCTCACTTTTTCGATCGTCAGTAAGGCCCGTGTGGCGTGTTTTTTCGGGCGGTTTTCGACGTCACGTGGGTGAAGGGGGACGCAGCTGTATGCATGACGTATTACATGCGCGACACATTGGGTTGATGGATGGACTGATGTGATCAAGTTGTTACTACAATGAACTCTTTGTCAGGTCTGTAATCAATCAATCCTGGCTTGTGCAGCGAGCCACTCCACACACATGCAGTGCAGACGGACTAAAGTCCTCGTCAAGTTAGTGCAGCTGGCTAAATGGTGCACCACTCACTCCACCATGAAAGGATCCATCCATCCATCCATGTGTGCAGGCTAGGTTGAGTCAGTCAAGTTGAGCACGCACCATCCACCGACTCCATCGACACGTGCTTTTTCTGCCTGCCTCTCTCATCAAGTTAAGTTACTACCCGATTCGTGGGTCATGCACCATGAAATGAACAGACGAACCGTCGAGGGACCTACCAACCCATACATACATGCAGACTTGACAGCTGACTAAACTGCCTGCCTTGCATCTGCACTGATCAGGTTGTCGCTAGCTACCAGCACAGACACCAACGCACACACTAAATCATAGGTGTACAAAATGTGCTGAGCGATCCGCACTTCAGCAGCCGTGCAGCCAGTGGTGTGTAAGGGGCATTAGATAGTAGTAAGCAGTAGTCTTACCCAGAGTCCACTGCGTCCTCAAATCCCAAATCTGCATGGACGTACTATAACCACATCCACGCAGCAATTGGATGTCAGGGTAGTTATCACCACACTCAACGCACCCAAAAGCAGCCGCCCGCCCGCCCGCCCAGTAAGTCACAATGAATGAACTGTAGCCGACCGCAACACGACCAACCGACCGACAAACTCGCCAGTGGCGGAAGTGCGCTCGCGATGCCGATGGCTGCTCGTGGCTGTCTGTCTGTCACAGTGTCTCTCCCTCTTGCTGCCTCCCTGTCGGGGTCCTTCTGCCCCGTCGGCTTTCTCCTTCTCTGCTCACACACCACCGAACGGCACACAACAAGACAAGCAGACAGGCGGCCCATTGCGCACTGGTCATAAACCAGTGCAGTGCACGGCGGTCGCTGCCTTGCAGAGCTTGCAGGCTGGCTGTCAGAGAGAGGGGAGAGAGGGGAGTGAATGAGCAGACAGGTCGAGAGAGGAGAGTAGTGCTACAGGGGAAAGATGCATTACCCAGTCAGCCAGTCAGCCGGTCACTCGATCACCCAACCCACACGCAGTCTCACACAGTTAGTTATCACCACACCACACGCACACGCACCCAAAAGCAGCCGCCCGCCCGCCCGCCCGCCCACCCAGTAAGCCGACAGAACCACGACCAACCGACCGAAAAACTAGTCATCGCTTCTTGCCGGCCTTCTTGCCGCCGAAGCCCCGCTTGGCGCCCTGGCGACCAACAGATACGGACATACAGGCGTTGCAGAGAGTGCCACGAGGTTGTGTGTACCTTGGCCTGTCGTTTCTTGGCTTTCTGTGGGGATGGCTGGCCGTCGGCGTCCCCCCCTCCCTCCCCCCCGAACACCTTGCGCAGCTTCTTGACGGTCCTGCACCCATCACACAACGGACAGAGATCACACGGATGAGACGTGGCATCAGGTCCTTGATGGTGGGGATGGAACCACCAACACCAACAGCACCACCACCCCCAGCGGCTGCTGCTGCACTGCTGCTACTCGCCCCGCCGCCATCCCTGCCCCTCGCCCTGCTCCTGGTGGTCATCGCCACGTCCCTGACGGCCACGGCCGGCACACCGCTGTCGATGTCCATGTCATCCCCCCCAACTCAGCCGGCGCTTCTTGCTCTGGAGGGTCGTGCCACCAGGCGCCGCACTCAGCCGGCGCTTCTTGCTCCCGATGGACATGCCACCAGACGCCGTACTCGCCGACGCGGCTGCGGCTGCCGACGATGCTGCACCAGACGCCCCCGCGTCGAAGAGGGCGCTGTGGAGCTTGTGGGTGCGACCGCGCGTCTTGTCTAGGGGGAGTCCGTTGGTGAGGCCCAGGCCGCTGCTGGCCGGGAAGGCCGCTGATGCCGAGCTGGGTACCTCTGCTCCTGGGGGCGGGGGGAAGAAAGCGAGGGGGGACACGAGGTTGCGATCGATGGCCAGCTTGATCGTCACGACGTCATGCAGCTGGACGAACGCCGGGGCAGGGCGTTCGACACCAATCTGGTGGATGGATGGATCACACACACAGAGGGAGGGGGCGGGGAGGGAGGGGGAAGACGTGTCTCATGGTGTGGTGGTGTTGCGCTCTGTAGGTTGGTGTTACCTGCTTGACTTTGGGATCGTCCAGGGCCTGCTTATAGATCATCTCCAACAAGTCTGTACCAACTCCTGCACACGCAAGACAACACAACACAACACAACACAAGACAACACAAGACAGGACAGTGAGTGCCGCTCTCCCATCCCCGTCTCCGTGCAGTGCATCGCACTGACCTTTTCTCTGGTAGTGCGGGAAGATGAGGAACTGCGACACCCTGAGAAGGCTCCGGAACGTGTAGGCTTTGGTGTAGGTCGTGGCAAACCCACACACACTCAGACACCCCGGCCCCCCGCTTGATCTCAGATTGTGGCTGTGCGGCCGCTCGTAGGCGAAGTACACGTGCCACTTCTCGTCCTGCTCGATCTCCTCTATGCCCTCGATGAACCAGTGGAGGAACCACTCCATCTGCCGGTGCAGCGACTTGAATTCGTCATCGTCATCGTCAAAGCCGCATCGTCTCACCTGGATCTCCTCGCCCCTCGCACCCGCCTTGAGCTTCCACCCCCCCAGAGGCTTCCCGGGCGGCTGGAACCGCCAGTCAGGGGTCACTCGGCGCTCCAGCTTGGCGACGAAGTCGTGCTCCGAAGGGCAGAAGCCGCCCGGGAAGGCCACGTTGGTGCAAGTTGCGTTGGTGAGGCAGGCCATGACGCGCTCGCGGCAGGCATGGAAGGATGCACCCTCGCCCTCAATCTTCACGAACACGTCGAATGTGTCCGGGATATAGAAGATGTGGACGGACCCGTTGAGCTCCTCGAAATCCATAATGGCTTGGTCCGTGTCGAAGATATGGTGGGCGAACGAGGGATGAAAGGGCTCCGGCGGCTTGTGATAGTCCTTCGGCGTCTTGCAGGGATGGAAGCAGACGCTCTTGAGGGCGTTGGCGCCCAGCGAACGGGTGCGGCCGACGCGACCCATTGTTGACGATCTCAATGATGCTGGTGTTGGGAGGGCCGTCTTTGGTGCGGCGGCCAGCTGTTGGATGTGCCTCTGCACGAAGGGGGAGGGATCCGGGTGGGTGGGGACCTCACACGGCAGGCCAAGGTCGAAGCGGCCGATGTCGGTCTTGATGTCGACGGGGATGTCGGGGCTCACACAGACGGCACGAGTGAAGGCCTCGATGGCCGCGAGTGCTCAAACGCGGCCATACGTCGCATGGCCTCAAAAGGAAGAGAGCTCGCAGCCAAGCTCGCGAGGGAAATGAGGGAAGGGGGAGGAGAGAGAGGACAGCAACGGAGCACATGAGTCATCTGTGATAGCCTGCGTACCTCATTTGGGTGAAATCTGTCCTCATTCGCACCCCGTGCTGGTCGGCGTCAGCGGGGCTCTCCCCTCCCTCTCAGCCAAGACAGTTGTGTAGGGGTAAGGTGGGCAGGGTGGAAGCACTCAGGCCAGCAAAAAATCATGTCTCTCTCTTTTTCTTTGCTCAGGTGGGTAGCACTGTCAGCCTCTATGTGCTGCTTTGGTGGCTCATGTCTATTGGCTGTGGAGTCTGAGGCTTTGGGGTTTGTCGGATGTTTGCTGCTGATCTGCTGAGGCATTTTGTAGTTGGCTTGCACTGCATGGAGGCGGTGTGACAATGGGTGGTGGATTCATTCATTGTGTTGAGAGCGACTCGTTCCATGCATCCGAGCAGAGAGATCCGTCCACAAACCTTCACATGTACATGGGCACAGACACACAGAGAGTCACGTGTCAACGTGACGCGATGGATGGATGCGTCTGCGCCAGGTGTGTGGCTGATTGTCTGTCTGTCTGTCTGTGTTGGTGCTGTGCCTATGCGGTCGTATGTGTTTGTATGCCTGTGTGTGTGTGTGTGTGTGTGTGTCTGTGTCGTACAGTTTGTTTGTCGACTTCGATGTGAACGGACTTGTCGGTGTGTGTACTTGTCCCACAATCTCACGAACACACACACCCACGCACGGACAGAAAACTCTCGCGACAAGCCGACCTTCCACTCAACTCCCTCGTCCATCCCACCCAAAAAAACTCAAAGAGTCATACTTACATCCTATCAGCCGACTGCACTTATCTCTCAGCCCTTCTCCCTCCCCCCTCTCTCTGCGCCCCCTCAGCCCGCTTCCCCTCGCCGCACTGCTACGCTCCACTCCACCTATCCTGCACACACAGGACAAAACACAAAGCACCTTGGACGTAACACACAAGAGGCTCGGCGACTTGGCTGCTGACCTGACCCCATGACAGCACAGCAGACCCTTTGTCTTGTTTTTGCCGGCCTTCTTGCTCTCCTGTCGCCGGCACGCCGGCACTGTGCCAATGCTGCACACACAGAAGGTGACGTCATCAAGATCAAGAAGAAGGGCAAGAAGGCCACGAGCGGGCAGCCGGCGGCGCAGCCGACGGTGCAGACCGACGTGAGCCTCAGGAGCAAGCAGATGAGGGCGTCGAAAGACGCACCATCGGCCAACGGCGGCAAGCCCGGCAAGGGCACGTCAATGGGGAAGTCGTTAACCTAGCAGGCAGCAGCATTTCTACCCCATCCGCAGGCTGCGTGGGTGTCCATAGATCACCCCTGCGGAGAGATCCAGACGCTGTCCCCAGATCCATGACGGCCACCTCTGGCGAGTCGCACCAGCTGCAGCTCGAGCACACGGGGGGCGGGAGTGACGGCCGTCCTGCAGCTGGGTGGATGGGATGCTGCATGGACGGGGGTGGGGTGAGTGGGAGGGGAGCGGTGCTGCAGCAGCTGCAGCTGGAGGGGTAAGGGGAGGCGAGCGGGGGGAGGCTGCTTCAGCAGCATTGTGTCCGTATGAGCTCCGCTTGCAGTCGGTCGGTGGGGTCAACGTACTCGCCCCTCGCTCCACGAAGCGCCCTCGCTCAGCTGGTAGTCTAGTCTCCGTACTCTCTGGGAGCGTAAGGATGGTACGTCCGGTCGCGGACGTACGTGCAGCGGAGCGCACACACCAGGCAGAGGCGCAGTAGCGACTCTGCCTCCAGCGAGCTCACTAGCTCGCCTTCTTCCGTGTAACGATCTCGTCGGGCTCGCGATTTGGAGCTCGTGCCTCGTATTCGCAAACGACGACGACGACAACGCACGAACAGCCACACCTCATCCCTGTAACGGCATCCTTCGGCATGCGGATCGTGTGGCTCCTCGCATTCGTTGCGGCCGTCGGCGGTGTGCCACCGCCACAACAAAGCCGGCAAGGACACCCTGGGCGCATGTAGCGTCGGGGCAGGCCGACAACATCCAGGGGGACCAACGGCAACAGCCAGACTGAGTTTTCCACGGTGGATCACGGAGAGCTCATGGCTATGATGCGTTGGCAAGGGATGATGCGTTGGCAAGGGCTGTTCGGGCGCAGGCACTCCTCACCGAGCCAGAACAGACCGCCAAAAGCGGGGAGCACCAACGGCACCATCCCGACAGCGGCAAAGAAGAGAGATCCCATGGCGTCGTCGGGGACCCAAGGAGGCGGAGATATACCTCCCTTCCCTTTTCCACCCACCCCTCGCATGCCGTCCACCCACCCAGCGATCGAGAGACTCAACACCGCCTTGGCCATCCAGGCTGTGGAGAAACTGCTGAAGTTGGAGATGGTGCAAAAGGTCGGGCAGTGGTTCATCAACCAAGCGGCACAGCAGCTGGGAGCCGGCCTGGCGCTTTTTGCGAGGGAGGAAGGCATTGGAGAGGGCGCCAGGCAGGCTGAGGCGCAACGACTCGAGCAGGAGTTCCATCGGCGGTTCAATGCCCTCGTGAGCAGGGCAACAGGAGGAGATGCGCGTCTAGCTGAGAACCTGCAGCGGATGGAGGTGCGTGACCAAGGGAGGCCCCTCACACCACAGCAAGAGATCTTCCTTACGGAGTGGATGGCAGCTGGGCGGCAGGAGCAGCAAAGGAAGGAGGTGCAGCACCTCTTCGCCCTTCGTCAGAAAGCGGATGAATTGTGGCAGCAGCTGGGTATGGTGGGAGGGGGGACCGGAGAGACAGGAGGATCAACGAGAGCGACGGCCCCCTTCCCGGGCGACGACTGGGAGCCCCACTTCAAAACCCTGGAATGGATGGAGGGCACCACGGGCCAGGAGGTGATGGTGTACATGATGTCCAACAACAACAACAACCAGCCGGGAGGGAGGGGAACAGCGGGGGGAGTGGTCATGGGCTCGGCCCCGGCGACAATCTCAAGCACCACCCCGGCAACGGCGGGCCCCTCACCAGCCACGGGCACCTCATCAAGCTCCGCAGCAGCTGCAACCGCAGCCGCAAGCATCTCGACAACGGGGCCAGCCGTCATCCCGAGCATGGCGCCTCCAGCACCCTGAAGCCAACCAGCAGCTGCGGCCGCCGCCACATCCAACCAGCAGCCGCCACCGGGACTGATTCCGCCAGCAGGACTGATGCCGCCAACAGGACTGATGCCGCCAGCGAACACCCAACCGAGGTCAGCACTGGGGATCATGCAGGGGATCGCATCCAATGGGGCGTCACACACTCAACCACTATTCGAGAACCAGTCGATGGGCGCCTACCCGAGTGAGGCAGTGCCCACGCCGTTCACCAGCCTGACCGGAGGCAACCTGGGCGACTCGTCGCCCAACCCCGTACAGCCAAGTGGCCAGTTTGATATGGGCGCGTGCCAGGCCTTAGCCACCAGTATACAGCAGGCCATGCAGCAGGCCGCGGTCAGTGAGAGCACGTGCTCAACCAAGTAGCGCTCGCCGAGGGGCAATTTGTGTGGGCTCTGGTGTGTGTGGTGGTGTGCGTGCGTGTGTGTGTGTGTGTGTGTGCAGGCACCGGCTGTCGATAACAGGAGCGTCTTCTGCCAGCTGATCACCACATCCGACCGCAACGTCCAGCACGTGTCCGAGGTGGACAGCATCAAAGCAGACCCTCTCTTTCTCCAGCACCCAGCACTCGGCCGGCTGGCCGACGTGGTCAAAAGGCTGGAGGAGCAGCTGCGGTCCCAGGGACAGCTGCTGGAAGGAGACATGCTCGCCCACTACCTAGACGGCTCCATGCAGCGCGACCTGTGCGCAGCCCTCGCCATCGAAGTGCGCAAAGGAAGGGACAAGGACAACACGGTCTTCGGGGCACGGACAGG